CTCAAAAGGATTTTGAGGAGCATTACAATGACTTCTGACACCAACTATCCAGAGTTGGACCAAACTTCACAGATTAGGGACACAGTCCTCCACAAGACTTCTCTTACCTCAGACATCAGCTGCAAGTTTGGGGGTCCACAGGTCATTCTCACTTCTTACCAGCTGGGTACAAATATGGGAGTTTCCACTATCCTTTCAAGTTTGATAATTCACTGGAATGACTCACAGAACTCAGGAAAGTGCTATACTTATTACTAAAGTTTTATTATAGCAAAAAGATACAAATCAGAACCAGCCAAAGAGAGAGAAGCATAGGGCACGGTTTGGGAGGATCCAAACATGAAGTTTCTATCAGCATCAGGGGTGTTGTCACCCTCCCGGCACATCAAAATTTAGCACTGTAGAGTATTGCCAACCAGGATGCTCATCTGAGCTTTGGAGTCCAGAGTTCTTAATGGGCTTTCATTTTGTAGGCATGACTGAATCATTGCCCATGTAGCTCAGTCTCCAGACCGCCTACTTTCCCCTAAGGTCAGGCTGATGTCAGATGTCTCAGAGGTTCAACTGTCTAATCACATAGTTGATCTTTCTGGTGTGACTAGTCCCCATTTGGGTCATCTCTTTAGCATGAACTAGGGGCTCACTATGAGTCACCTTATTAGTATAAACTATCAGGTATGGTTGTATGGACCTTCCATGAATAACAAAGACACTCCCATAGCTTAGAAAATTTTGAGGATTTAGAAGTTACCTCCCACTAACGAGAGACAAAGACTAGCCAAATTTATTATTATACACAGAGTGTACATGGTTTAGGCCATATAAGCTTATGAAATGATATCCTTGGTAAGAAGTTTATTAGGATAACTCAGATTTAATGAAATTGTGAGAGTCAGCTGAAAATGATCTGTAAAAGCAAATGATGTCTTCTATCTCTCTCAACCATTTTTATGCATAATATGTGTGGTTCTTTTATTAAAGAAATTCTTTGACTTCTCTTAGTAATTTTCATGCTTAATAACCATTACGTTGAGAAATGCTTCCATTAATCTTTTTAAATTAGATCTATCACACCTCAGTTAAAAATCATCTGGAAATGAACAGACATTTCTCCAAAGAAGATATACAGATGGCCAATAGGCACATGAAAAGATGTTCATCAATGCTGTGCATCAGGGAAATGCAAATCAAAACTACACTAAGATATCACCTTACACCCATTAGAATGACAAAAATAACTAAAACAAATAGTAGCAAATGTTGGACAGGTTGTGGAGAAAAAGGAACCCTCATACACTGCTGGTGGGAATGCAAACTGGTGCAGCCACTATGGAAAACAGTATGGAGATTCCTCAAGAAATTAAAAATAGAACTACCATATGATGCAGCTATCCCACTACTGGGTATCTATCCAAAGAACCTGAAATCAAGAATTCCAAAAGTCCCATGCACCCCAATGTTCATTGCAGCATTATTTACAATAGCCAAGACGTGGAAGCAACCTAAGTGCCCATCAACAGATGAATGGATAAAGAAGATGTGGTACATATATACAATGGAATACTACTCAGCCGTAAAAAAGAACAAAATCATCCCATTTGCAACAACGTGGATGGACCTTGAGGGAATTACATTAAGTGAAATAAGCCAGATAGAGAAGGACAATCTCTGTATGACTCCGCTCATATGAGGAATTTAAACATGTGGACAAAGAGAACAGATTAGTGGCTACCAGGGCAAAGGTGGGGTGGGGGGTGGGCACAAAGGGTGAAGGGGTGCACCTACAACACGACTGACAGACAATAATGTACAACTGAAATTTCACAAGATTGTAACCTATCATTAACTCAATTAAAAAAAATCATCTCCTAGTTCTTTCTCTTCCTTAGAGAAGTTGAGCATTTTCCTGTAGAGAGGTTGAGCATTACTATCCGTTTGATTTTGATGCTTTATATCCTGGAAGACATTTTTAATAGATGAAATAATGCAGCCAGTACTTTCAGCATTTTTTTCATGTATACATATATTTTAACCCAGCATCTGCAAATTTTCTGCACTACTTTTGAAATATAGTTCCTGTCTCAATGATGAGGATAAAATCATTACTTTGTTTGAAGTTATTTTCTTTTGTATTTCCCATTAAAGAAATTAAAAAAACATGCACACGGCAAAACAGTTATAAAGAGTACAGAAGTATATAGCCTGAAAATTTGTGACCCTCTGAAAAGGAAAAACTTAGCAATTTTTTCCTCCCTGTGTAGGGAAAAACCCAGTTCTTTCCTACTATGTCTTTATTTCCTGTGTATCTCTTTTACTTTTACATGGAACACTTCACTTCTGAGACTTCTGGTCACCAAATATGTGTAGGTTTTTCTTCACATGAACAAGCAGTTCTTGGATACCACCTGGGTGTCCTACAATTCAACTCAATTCTGACACTATCTACCCAAGGATAGCATCAGATTCCACAGGTTAAGGGTTCAGTCCTACAAGACTACCTCACCCTTTCACTTTAGATGCTAGTTGCAAGCCCAGGTTATCACCTGTGCTTCTGACCAACTGGCTATAGATCAGAGGTTCCAACGACCCCATCCTTGAGTTTGATTAGTTTGCTGGAGTGTCTCACAGAACTCAGGGAAACACTTATACGTACCAGTTTATTAAAGGATAAAAGATACAGATGAACATCTAGATAGAAGAGTTGCTTAGTGCAAGATATGTGGGAAGGGGTGTGGAGCTTCCACGCCCTCTCCAGGCGAGCCACTCTCCCAGCTCCTCCATGTGTTCGCTAACCAGAAGCTCTTTGTACTTTTGGGTTTAGTGAGGCTTCATCACGTTGATATGATTGATCATGAACTCCATTTTCAAGCCTTCTCCCTTCTCAAGAGAATGGGAGGCGGGGCTGAAAATTCCAAGCTTATAATCATGGCTTGGTCTTCCTGGTGACCAGCCCTCAACTAAGAGCCCACTCAGTCACTTAAATAGAGCAAAAGATACTCCTAGTGCTCTAGTGCTCTTATCACTTAGGAATTTACAAGGGTTTTAGGAGCCCTGCGACAGGAACAGGGTCAAAGACAAATATTCAAACAAGAGATGCTCCTTATGTTCTTGGCACTTAGAAAATTGCAAGCATTTCAGGAACTCTGTGCCAGGAACTGGAGGCAGAGATTGATCAATCAATTGATCTGTCTGTCTGTCTATCTGTCTATCTATATTTATTTGTTATCTTACACCCTCCCAACCTTCTCCTCCAGTTTCTTTTGTTAAGCAGTTTCTTATATATCATTTCATGACTGGACTGTGCACACGTTTATACCCTTCTCCCTTTCTCTTCTTTGTATATGGTAGGGTAGATCGTGTTTTGCATTTGAGGATACTACTTTGGTGATTTATAGTACAAGAACATGACCAATGAAGCTGGGTATCTGAGGGTTACTGTAAATATTTGTTAAGACCTTTCAAGCTTGTTCCCAACACAGACATACATGAAAAGAAGTTGATCTTGTCAATTTGCTGTTTTCTTCTTTAACCTGAAGGGTGACTCAGAGGTCACAAGAATTTATGAGCTTCTTTTATAGAAGAAAGAGAATGCCTTCAAGGAAGTTACAATCACCAGATAACCAGCCACCTTCTGCTGTTGACACCCAGAAGTCAGATTGCCCAAGGGCTTATCTGGAGTGAAAGAAACATGGATTATCCCTTTGTTTCACTGAAACTCCCCTGCCAACCCCTTAGCTCTTTTTTTCTCTTGTTAAGGTGATTTTGAGAGAACATATCCTCCTGCCTTCTGTTTTGGCCAATTTGAATAAACCTTTCTCCATCTCTAAGCACTGATGTCTCAGTGACCTATATATACTGTGCATCAGGCACATGAATTTGAGATTAAGATGTTCTCTGTCATCATGACCTCTTGAGATTAAGAAACAATCTACTTCATCTGTTGAGCAGTTACTGTCTGCTGCTAAGGTTTCCACCACAGATGTGAGAAGGAAAATATCCTCACCCTTTATGGCTGTCTGATTATGGCAGCCAAAACTGAATGGGGGAATACAGGAGGAAAACATGGTAACACGGGAAACGGAGAGAGAATTTTTGCAACTCAGAAATAATGTTATAAACAATGAAGAGCCTTTTTTATTTCAAAAAAGAATGTAAAATTTGAGTTAAAAAAAAAAAAAGCAGCCTAGGGTGCTGGCCCGGTGGCTCAGTGGTTAAGTACACACGTTCTGCTTCCGTGGCCTGGGGTTCACCAGTTTGGATCCCAGGTGCTGACATGGCACCGTTTGGCAAGCCATCCTGTGGTAGTCCTCCCACATATAAAGTAGAGAAAGATGGGCATGGATGTTAGCTCAGGGCCAGTCTTCCTGAGCAAAAAGAGGAGGATTGGCAGCAGATGTTAGCTGAGGACTAATCTTCCTAAAAAAAAAAAAAAAAGCAACCTAGACCTGGCATAAAACTGTTAAAAACCAGCCCTTATCCGTGGGTGAAAGGAAAATTTATTGTATATCAAACTGATTGGTATTTGCAGTATTGTAGTAGGTTTTGGAAGGTATCAAATAGCACTTACTATGTTACATTGAAATTATTTGCTTGCTTGTTTACTGTCTAGATGCTGTTCCTTTGGGCAGGGACTTATATCTCTTTATCTTCCCCAGGGCTAGCAAAGTACCTGGCATATGGGTGGTGCTCTGTAAATCTTAAAGAGGATTCACTGAGTCTGTATGCCTCTTGGAAAAAGAAGTTGGCTTTTAAATGTGGCAATTTTGAAATATATTTTGAAAAACTAAATTCACAGTAAAAAGAAATTGATTAATATTTTCAATAAGTTATTTAATAAAATTTTAGGAATTAGAAATTGTTTTTGTTTTTTTGAGGAGGATCAGCCCTGAGCTAACATCCGTGCCCATCTTCCTCTACTTTATATATGGGACGCCTGCCACAGCATGGTTTGCCAAGTGGTGCCATGTGTGCACCCGCAATCTGAACTGGTGAACCCCAGGCCGCTGAAGCGGAACGTGTGTACTTAACCCCTGCGCCACCGGGCCGGCCCCAGAAAATCGTTTTAAATTATTCATTTTCAAGCACAATCTCGTTTTTAATTTGGTGAGAAGAAAAAGATGCTAAATTTAGAAAAATCTTAATTCAAATCTAGCAATTAAAAAGAAAGTCACTGTATTTGTTATGGTTCTCCAGAGAAACGGAACCAGTGGTATATATACATACATATGTCCGTACATACATATATAGAGAGAGGGAGAGAGATTTATTTATTTTAAGGATTTGGTTCACGTGATTATGGGTGCTTGCAAGTCCAAAATCTGCAGGATAGGCTGGAAAGCTGGTACAGCAGGGAAGAGCTGATGTTGCATTTCAAGTCTGAAGATTGTCAACTGGCAGAATTCCTTGTTGTCTGGGGGAGGTCAGTCTTGGTTCTGTCAACAGAGGTGGAGGAGTCCCTCCCATGTTATGGAGGGCAGTCTGCTTTATCAGAATTCATTGACTTAAATGTTAATATCCAAAAAACATCCTCTTAGAAACATCCATAATATTTGACCAAATATCTGAGGACTGTGGCCCAGCCAACTTGACACATAAAATTTAACCATCGCAGTCACTACCGAAATCTTTTCTATTTTTTTTGTTACGTTTTAATAAAATTCTATTCTTCATGCAAAAAATGTTCTATTTCTTACATAAGTACATTCCTTTAGTCTGTTATAAAGCAGATATTGAATACCAAAATCTTGAGTATTTTGATATATTTTTAACTCAAAAATATGTCCATTGTTCTTTTTTTCAAAGGGGAAATCTTTTCTTTTTTTGAATTTCTTTATAAGTGGGGTAGAAATGTATTAAAAATCAAATGCAAGTAGAATTTCATGTAGCTGATTAACACTAATAAATTTTTAGTGTTTGCTGACTTATGTATCTAATATTGTGTGGCGTTGTGCCAACAAGTTTGACACCTTAGACAAAATGGACAGATTTCTAGGAAGACCCAAATTACTGAAACTGCTTCAAGAAGAAATAGACAATTTGACTAGACCTATATAACATGTAAAGAAATCTAATTCTTCATTAAAAATCTTTCACAAAGAAAAGCTCACGTCTGGATGGCTTCATTGATGAATTCTACCAAACATTTAAGGAAGAAATAATACTATTCCTTCATAAACTTAACAAAAGAAAGAGAAAGGTACACTTCTCAACACATTTTGTGAGATTAGTATTATCTTGATATCAAAATCAGGTGAAGTTTTCACAAGAAAACTACAGACCAGTATCCCTCATGAATGTAGATGCAGAAATCCTTAACAAAATATGGGCAAATTGAATCTAACAATCTGGCCAAGTGAGATTTATCACAGGAATGCTGGTTTAGTTTTAACATCTCAAAATTAATGTAATACACTTACCAGATGAATAGAGTTAAGGTAAAAAAGTACTTGATAATCTCAATAGATGCAGAAAAAGCATTTGACAAAATCAAAATTTGACAACACCCATTCAAGATAAAAACTGTCAACCGATTAAGATTAGAAGAAATGTTTTAATCCTGAAGAAGGACATCTAGGAAAAACCTAAAGCCAACATTATATGTAATGGTTACGACTGTATACTTTCCTCCTAAGAGCAGGAGCAAGATAAGGATGTCTGTTCTTACCACTTCTGTTCAACATTGTACTGAAGGTTCTAGCCAGGGCAATGAGGGAATAAATAAAAAGGATCAGAGTTGGAAAGAAGTAGTAAAACTCCTTCGTTGCACATGAAATGATTCTGTTGGTAAAAAATCCTAAGGAATCCACAAAAAAACCATTAGAATAAATGAGTTCAGCAAGTTCACAAGATATGAAGATCAATATACAAAAATTAATTGTATTTCTATATATTAGCAATGAATAGTCTGAAAATGATGTTAAGTAAACAATTCCATTCATAATAGCAACAGAGTAAAATACTTGATTAAATTTAACAAAAAGTACAAGACTTATATGCAGAAAACCACAAAATGTGGCTGAGAGAAATTAAAGAATGTTTGAATAAATGGAGAGACATTCTGTGTTCATGGAGTAGAAATCTCCCAACATTACCAGGGTTGCTAAAGCATAGAAAAGATGCTTGTGACATACTGTAAGCTATATGACAAGAAGTCAAGCAGTGTTCAGATTACTCTTGATAGGTGTTTTACAAAGAAATAAAATGTTTTAAGTCTCAGTGTTCTAATGTTTTAAATTTCATTGTACTAAATAATTATTAGTTTTCTATTTTTAAATTTCTCTGTATGTTTATAACTGATAGGGAGTTTTTAATGTTTTGACAAAAGTTCATGAAGTTTACAGAACAGTCATAATTTTCCCATTGATTTTTAAGATTGCTGCATGGTTTCAGCTTGCATGGTAATCTTTAAGCTCCTGCAGTACCATGACCAATTGGGATTTATTCTAAGAATGCAAGATTCATTTAATATTTAAAAGTCATTTAGTGTAATTCATCATATTAATGAAGGGAAAAGTCATATGACTATCAAAAAATCTAGAAAAAACATTTGATAAGATTCAGTGCCATCAAGATAAAAATTCTCAGCAATCTAGGAATAGAAGGCCGTTTCCTTAATCTGATAAAATGTGGCTACAAAAAACTGTACATCTAACATCGTATTTAATGGTAAAAAACACTGATTGCTTTTTCCTTGAGTTCGAGAACAACACAAGGTTATCTTCTATCACTACTTTTGTTGTTGTTTAGCATTGTACTAGAAGGACTAATCAGTGCAATAAGGCAATAAAAAAGATATAAAGTTGGTAAAGGAAGAAGTAAGAAGTGTCATTATTCACAGATTATATGATTGTTTAAGTAGAAAATTCAAAAGAATCTACAGACTATTAGAATTAGTAGTCAATTTTGCATGGTAACCAGATACAAGGCTATACAAAACAACTGTATTTCTAAATACTAGCAACAAACTATTGGAAAGAGAGACTGAAAAAAAATTATTATAGTCATATTGGAAATATCATTCTAACAAAATATGAGCAAGACCTGTACAAAACTTTACTGAGATCATTTAAAGACACCTAAATAAATGGAGAGAGAGACCATTTTCATGCGTTATAAGATTCAATATCATTAAGATGTCAGCTTTCCTCAGTATCTCTAGGTTCAGTGCACCACCCGGAGACTTCTTGATAAGCAGATTTATAAGGCAAGAAAAAGAACCTGGATAGCCACGACAGTCTTCAAGAAAAGGAACAAAGTTGGAGAACTTAAAGTGTTATATATAAAGACTTAGTCTAAAATTCTGGTAATTAAGACAGTTTAGTTTTGGTATGACAAGTAGACCGCTGGAAGAGAATAGAAAGCATAGAAACAAACCCAGTTATATACAGACATCTGATTTATAACATAGGTGCCTCTGAAGTTTGGTGGGGAAAAGGATGGTCTTTCCAATAGGTGATGCTGGATCAGTTAGACAAAAAATCTATACCAAAAAAACCCCAACTTAACCAGAACCTCACATTACATACAGTATTAACTCAAGAAAAATCATTAACTTAAATGTAAAACCTAACACTAGAAAGCTCTTAGAGAAAACATAGAATGTTTTTGAGGCTTTGGGGGTAAATGAAGATTTCTTAAACAGGACATGAGAAGAACTGACAAAAGAGAAGTTTGATTAAATGGATTTCATTAAAATTAAGAACTGTTCATCAAAAGACATAATGCAAAAAGGCAGCCGTATGTATATGTGTATATCTGTGCACATGTATATAACATCTACAAATCAGTAGGAAAAAGACAACCCAATTTTAAAAATGGGCAAAAGACTTGGATAGGCATTTCACCAAAGAGGAAATCCAAATGCTTTTGAAAAAGTGCTTAGTACCAGTCGTCATTAGGAAAAGGCGGATGGAAACTACATGAGACATCACTGCACACAAATATAATGTCTGATATTTAAAGGACTTAGAATACCAAGAGTGGGCAAGGATGTGGATCACCTGGACTCATTCATTGCTGGTGGGAATGTATTATGGTAAAACTTTGAAAAACTGGCAGTGTCTCCTAAACCCTGTGACCTCATCCTGTGACTCAACAATTCCACTCCTAGGAGTACAGCCAAGAGAAATACATGTTTGTGTTCCCCGAAAGACATGTGTAAGAATGTCAGTAGAGCTTTGTTCATAATAGCACCCCTCCCCCCAAACAGAACGAAACTGCTGAGATGTCTTATCAATAGTAGAATGGATTAAAAAAATTGTGATGGTCATACAATGGAAAAATATATGAAAAAAATAACCACTGCTGTGTATAACTACATCTCACAGATGTAATATTGAGTGAAAGAAGTGAGATGTTAAAGAGTACAAACTGTGATTCTTTTTATTTGAAGTTCAAGAACAGATCCAACACAATCTACATTGATGGAAATCTCCTTGTAAACTCTGAGAGAGGGTATTGATGGGGAAGGGGCATAAGTGTACCTTCTGAGATGCTGGAAATCTGGGTTGTGGTTACAAGAGTGCATACACATGTACAAATTCATCGAGCAGTGTGTGTAAGATTGTGCTGTCTGCTGTCTGTATGTTATTCCCCAATTTAAAAAAATTGGGCTTATGGGAGAAAGTTTGCTTTGCTTTCCACAATTGAAAGTGCTCAAAATGAGTAGGTTTTTTTTTTTTTTTTAAAGATTTTATTATTTTTTTCCTTTTTCTCCCCAAAGCCCCCAGGTAAATAGTTGTATGTTCTTCGTTGTGGGTCCTTCTAGTTGTGGCATGTGGGATGCTGCCTCAGCGTGGTCTGATGAGCAGTGCCATGTCTGTGCCCAAGATTCGAACCAACGAAACACTGGGCCGCCTGCAGTGGAGCGCGCGAACTTAACCACTCGGCCACGGTGCCAGCCCCAAAATGAGTAGGTTTTTTGAGATTTGCCAGAAAACTTATATTTACTGGTACCTTATACGTATGACAAGAGAAACCATGAAGATAATTGAAATTAAGGAGGATCCTAATGTTTGAAAGGTCAATAAAAATCATATTAAAGCCCACTGTGCTATTCTTTCGACTGCTACTGCTAATGCTGCTGTTACTGTTGCTGCTACTACTACCAATTAACCTATGTTGAGTGCTTACTATGTGCCCGATGCTGTGCTAGATTCTTAGCTCATTTAAGGTGTTAAGCATGTCCTGTGTGATTCCACTGGAAAGACCTCTTGGAAGTTATCACCTGGTTTCCTCTGGACTTTGCCCAGTGTGTCTTTTCCCTTAGCTAATTTTGCTTTATATCCTTTCACTGTAATAAACCATAATTGTGCGTATAATGACTTCTGCATCCTTCTAGTGAATTACCAAACCGGGGGGGGTGGCTGAGGACTCCCAACATATTCCTTTTCAGTCTTTTTTTCTGATTCCTTTTCAACTTCCTCACTTTTAAACTTTTGGTACTCCAGGAATCTGTCTTCAGTGTCTGTACTTCCTAGCTGTTTTTAATCCACCATTTCTAGGTGATCTGTGATTGATCAGCATTTCAGGCTCCAAAACACACTAGATTTATTTTGTCTTTCATGCTCCAAAGTCATTTTGGAAATTTGCAAGCAAAAAGATTATAGATTACCAAAGTGAGAGATTTTACTCTTGTTGCTAGAAATCATTTGATATGATTTAAAAAATTCATTTGAAATACAATTATGCTCATGGAAATTTGGAAAAGAAAAATTATAAGAAAAAGATTACATTGTAATTTAAAAATGCTATCAGAAAGGAAGCAACAGCAGAAATTAGCATTGTGGAGAAGCTCTAGAGTTTAGACTGCTAAAAAATTACAGTCAATCTAAAGACTTTGGAAAATAGACAAAAGGAAGTTGTTGATATTTTTACTAATTTTTAGTTGTACTTTTAATTAACATTCCCTTTAGTATATGTCATCGTAGGTTTCTCTTATTACAAACTAAATCCCAGACATTCTGCCTGTTTTGTTCAGTTTGTACAAGCCAAATGAGTCCTTTGAAATAATACCTTTATAGCTGAAGTTTGAGTACAGTATTCTTCTCAAAGTAGTGACATCTCTTGATAAGTCACCCACTTGTGGAAAGGCCTATTATTATTTCCTATAATTTATCCTTTGATTATTTTTACATAGTGGCTTCTTATGGTAATATAATAATGAAAAGAAGAAAGTAAGTGTTCCATGGTAATTTGTTTTATAAAATATTTATTATGAGTGTGCTATGTTAGAAGATAAATTAATTTTGAAAAGATTATATACTTAGGGGCTGGCCCCGTGGCCGAGTGGTTAAGTCCGCGCGCTCCGCTGCAAGCGGCCCAGTGTTTCGTTGGTTCAAATCCTGGGCGCGGACATGGCACTGCTCATCAGACCATGCTGAGGCAGCGTCCCACATGCCACAACTAGAAGAACCCACAACGAAGAATACACAACTATGTACCAGGGGGCGTTGGGGAGAAAAAGGAAAAAATAAAATCTTTAAAAAAAAAAAAAAAGATTATATACTTAAATATTTTATTTAACCCACAACCACTATAGAAACCAAATACTTCCAATTGATGTAGTTCTGGGCTATAATGTTAACTATGTTAGAGTCACTGATGTTGTACTTGGTGAAGTGACATCACTTCAAATGACCCTAAGATGACACTAATGCTTTACTTGCCACTAGAACCATCAGAAGACAACAACTCTGAATAAGTAAGTCTTACCATATTTCTTAGCTCATTAAGTCAATTGAGATGCCATTGTTAATGCATAGTTTAAAATATTATACAAAATATTCTTAAATATTATTATTTAAAATAATCAATATTTAAATTATTCCATACACTTCTTAATTTTACTTCTGTGATTACCTCTAATGCCATTCAATGTTGGTACTGGATGACTAAAATAAGAATTCAGAAGTTAGTATTTTTTGTTGACTAAACCTTAAATTAATTAATTTTAAATAATTCAGAAGGTATTATGTATTCTTATTTGTCTTTTAAGACAATTATTACAAATACTATTTGAATCAATAATAAAAAGCAAATACTCGATAAATAAAATTGAACTTAGTATGGACAATAATTTTTAAATGAAATGAATCACATTTTTCTTTGTCCTTTCATATATATCTACCAAGCAGAATTGAAAAACAGTAGTAGGGCCAGCCCTGTGGAGGAGTTGTTATGTTCCCGCGCTCCGCTTCAGCGGCCCAGGGTTTCGCTGGTTCGGATCCTCACTGCGTACTTAGCACTATTCATCAAGCCATGCTGAGGAGCTGTCCCACATAAGAGAACTAGAAGGACGTACAACTAGAATATATACAACTATGTACTTGGGGGCTTTGAGGAGAAGAAGAAAAAATAAAAAGAAGATTGACAACAGATGTTAGCTCAGGGCCAATCTTTAAAAAAGAAAAGAAAAGAAAAGGAAAACAATAGTAAAGGCCACCTTAAACGCATGACTTTTCAGAAAGCTGTAAATTACTTGTTCCCTGAGTGGGGAAACCGAGTGTGTTGGGAGGCATCATCCTTGTAGCATTGTCTTCTTTTTCTCCTTGACACAATAGAGGGTCCATTGTGACCCTGTGTAACTAGAGATACATAACTTTGGTTACTAGTTATTATGCTTCCTCTGTCTATGCAATCAGACTGCTAAAAGCAGAAATGAAATGCTAACAATAGTGGTTTTTTCCCCTCTCTTTCTCTTATTTTTTCCTCTTACTCAGGTATTCATTCATATATTCATTCACATGTTTATTCAGTGAACATTTCTTAGATACAACTTTTTTGCCAGACGTTAAAATTGCATAAAGCATGGACCTTACCGTCATGGATTTAATAATTTAGTTTTGTATATGATACTCCATTCTGCATGTGAGAATCAAAACTGTGTCTCTTTTTACGCTTAAATTATGTATCTTTAAAAATAGGTTTAGATTCCTTTGTGAGGAAAGAATGCCTTTCTAGGATGATTTAAAATTCCAAGCATATGGAATGCTCTGGATTCTTTTGGAAGAGACTTGGGAGCATGAGTGAGAGGTGTTCCTAAGGAATCCTCTGTTATATCGTCTATCAATAGGAGTTAAGTAGGCCAGAAGTGTTTATCCAAGAGAATTCCATAGTGTTTATGGTAGAAAGTAGAATTTAGTATTACATAAAAACCAATAGACATCCATTTATATTTATACTACTTTGGTGTTTTTGCCCCTGAAATATTTCAGTGATGGTATAGAGCAGTGATCTGATATATTCATGATAAGTTCCCATCATTTAGCTGGATTGTGAGGAATAAGGCTCAAAAATGGTGATGTCCTTGTCATTTTATAAACTGCAGTCAATTATTTTATTGATATTCCTTATAGCTCACTCTAAGGAAAATTTTTATTTTGTTTGGAAATGGTAATTAAAAATTTTTTTTGTTGAGGTCACAATAGTTTATAACATTGTGAAATTTCAGTTGTATATTATTGTTTGTCAGTCACCATATAAATGAACCCCTTCACCCCTTGTGCCCACCCTCCAACCTCCTTCCCCCTGGTAACCACTAAACTGTTCTTTTTGTCCATGTGTTTGTTCATCTTCCACATATGAGTGAAATCATATGGTGTTTGTCTTTCTCTGTCTGGGTTTTTCAGTTAATGTAATACCCTCAAGGTCCATCTGTGTTGTTGCCAATGGCAAGATTTTGTCTTTTTTATGGCTGAGTAGTATCTCATTGTGTGTGTGTGTGTGTGTGTGTGTGTATACACACACCCCACATCTTCTTTATCCAATCATCAGTTGATGGGTGCTTGGATTGTTTCCACATCTTGGCTATTGTGAATAATGCTGCAATGAATATATGGGTGTATAAGTCTCTTTGGTTTCTATTTTTAATTTTTTGAGAAATCTCCCTACTGTTTTCCATAGTGGCTGCACCAGTTTGCATTCCCACCAGCAGTGTATCAGGAGTCCCTTTTCTCCACAACCTCTCCAACTTTGTTATTTTTTGTCTTGGCTATTATAGCCATTCTAATGGATGTGAGGTGATATCTCAGTGTAGTTTTGATTTGCATTTCCCTGATGATTGGTGATGTTGAACATATTTTCATGTGTCTCTTGGCTATCTGTATATCTTCTTTGGAAAAATGTCTATTCATATCCTCTCCCCATTTTTTCTTTTTTTTTTTTTAAGATTTTATTTTTTCCTTTTTCTCCCCAAAGCCCCCCAGTACATAGTCGTATATTCTTCGTTGTGGGTCCTTCTAGTTGTGGCATGTGGGACGCCGCCTCAGCGTGGTTTGATGAGCAGTGCCATGTCCGCTCCCAGGATTCGAACCAACAAAACACTGGGCTGCCTGCAGCAGAGCGCGCGAACTCAACCACTCGGCCACTGGGCCAGCCCCTCCTCTCCCCATTTTTTGACCGACTTGTTTGTTTTTTTGTTGTTAAATTGTTTGAGTTCTTTATATATTTTGGAGATTAACCCCTTGTTGGATATATGATTTGCAAATATTTTCTCCCAATTGGTGAGCTGTCTTTTCGTTTTGATCCTGGTTTCCTTTGCCTTGCAGAAGCTCTTTAGTCTGATGAAGTTCCACTTGTTTATTTTTTCTTTTGTTTTCCTTCCCTGAGTAGACATGGTATTCGAAAAGATGCTTCTAAGACCAGTGTCAAAGAGTGTACTGCCTGTATTTTCTTCTACTGTTTTATGGTTTTAGGTCTTAGCTTTAAGTCTTTAATCCATTTTGAGTTAATTTTTGTGTATGGTGTAAGATAATGGTCCACTTCCATTCTTTTGCATGTGGCTGTCCAGTTTTCTCAACACCATTTATTGAAGAGACTTTCCTTTCTCCGTTGTGTGTTCTTCACTCCTGTATTGAAGATTAGCTGTCGGTAGAGCTGTGGTTTTATTCCTGGGCTTTAAATTCTGTTCCATTGATCTCTTTGCCCCTTTTTGTACTAGTACCATGCTGTTTTGATTACTATAGCTTTGTAGTATATTTTGAATTCAGGGGTTGTGATGCCTCCAGCTTTGTTTTTTTTTTTTTCCAGATTGCTTTAGCTATTTGGGGTCTTTTGTTGTCCCATATAAATTTTAGGATTCTTTGTTCTATTTCCATGAAGAATGTCATTGGGATTCTGATTGGGATGGCATTGAATGTGTAGATTGCTTTAGGTAGTATGGACATTTTAAGTATATTTATTCTTCCAATCCATGTGCATGGAATATCTTTCCATAGAAATGGTAATTTTTTATGCTAAAGTGTTACGTAATAGGACTAAGGGGAGAAGGGTTTCAGAAATCTCAATACTCATCTGATATCTCTGCTTCTAGATGTAGTATTTTACCACTAAAAATATTTGAGGGCTGGCCCCATGGCCGAGTGGTTAAGTTCGCATGCTCCACTTTGGCTGCCCAGGGTTTTACTGGTTAGGATCCTGTGCACAGACATGGTGCTGGTCATCAGGCCATGCTGAGGTGGTGTCCCATGTAGCACAACCAGAGGCACTCTCAACTAGAATATACAAGTATGTACCAGGTGGGCTTTGGGGAGAAGAAGAAAAAGAAGATTGGCAACAGATGTTAGCTCAGGTGCCAATCTTTAAAAAAAAAAAAAAGGGAAATGTATATAATTTATTTTAACAGCTTTATCAAGATATAATTTACATACCATAAAATTTATCCATTTAATTTATACAATTCTGTGGTTTTTAATGTATTTGCAAGTTGTGCAGCCATCACTGTTGTCATCACCCGGAAATGTTATTTGATGTTTGAACTCTGTTAGAAAACACTACTCAGAATTGAAGTTTTTCTTAAAAAATTAACATTCTTTTACAGAATTTCTCTTTGGGATGATGGAAGAATTCTGGAAATGGATAGTGGTGATGGTTGCACAACATTTTGAATGTCCTTAATGTCACTGAATTGTACACTTAAAAATGATTAAAATGGTAAATTTTATATTCTGTACATTTTCCTGTAATAGAAATTAATGGCCATTTATATGAAATCAGAATTGGTGGCTTAACTTTAAAAGTTTTTGGAAATTTCAGCCTGAGCTACACATGGCCCTAATAATTTTTTCTCAAACATGTTATAACAAGGATATTCTCATATTCTCATGTTATAAAAATCACATTATTAATTTTCACAGACTGAAAACAGACATTAAAATGGTTGTAGGCATTTATCTGTATAGAAGTTTCCATAGAATTAAGATAAGAATTAAAGGTATTCAGTTTGCTTTGCTTTAATTTTGCTGTCCTTGTAAAAGCAAGATGGCAAACAATGCAGAACCATTTATCTAAAGGGGGAAGAAGTAAATATAATACACACACACACACACACACACACACACAGGATAATGTAAAAGTGTCTGTTTATAGATATATAAGTCTTTGGAAGGAGACACAAGAAACAGTAATGTTGATTGTTCTGAGCAGGAACACTGGGTGGCTGGGGTTTCTGGGTAGGAGGGATATTTTCCATTATGTGGATGTATTGCTATTGAAACATTTTAAATAAAAAATTTATTATCCTGATCCCAGTCTCAGGATCAGTATGACTGTGTTTCTTCCTACTGTGCTTTGTGACAGGAGATTGTATTGAAATTGAGATCGGTTTGAAAATGAGCTACATTGCTTAAGTTGTTTTCTTTCTAGGAATTGATTATGGATTAAGTTTACCACTTGGAGAAGACTATGAACGAAAGAAACATAAACTAAAAGAAGAATTGCGGCAAGATTACAGACGCTATCTTACTCAGGTAATGAGTTCTATTAGTTGGTTGGGTCTTATGCTTCAGAGTTCATCTCCTAAATTTGTTTTTTTAAGATTTTAGTCATGTCTGTTAATTTTTAGGTTTTCAGTGGTATCTAGCAATGGGGTATAATAGTGAAAGTTATGTAACATGACATTGATAGAGAGAAAACTGGTGCTAGAACTGGTGCCATGAAATAACACAGACTCTTGACCTTTGGAGTAGGGCAGTAGGTTTTAGTTTTAAGTGAGATTGTAAATTCTGGTTATGCATGTTTTCTGTAAAGTTATCATGGTTTAGAATAGCCCAATTATGATTTTCTGGTCCTCTACTCCCCTCAACCATGTGTTAAAATGACAGGTGGAGGTCTAGTTGCCAATTATTTTCCTATGAGCTAAGCTTATAAAACTTCATTTAACGTATTTATTTAACCATCAAAGTCTTTGCTTTATGATTTAATCTATTTACTTAGCAGAACTCTGTTTTAAGTATATTTCATTAAGTTATATAATAGCTAAACTAAAGATTTATTATAAGTTTTAAAATGCAATTTACTTTTTAGGTTATAAAGTTATTTTAAACAATCGTGGTGTTTCTAGTCATCCCAAGATATTCTTTAGTTTTTTACTACTTTATAATGTTTGTTCCAAATTTATAAATGGTCTCATTTATTCTGATTTGCACATGGGGAGCAAGGACTTTGAATACATTTTATCAACGGTTTGTTTCCTTGACTTTAGGGTATTGCACAAGCAAAAAGAAAGGTAGGGTTGCTTGCAAAATGTTCTCCTTTAATATTTTTTTAAGATCTAGTAGCTTGCAGTTGTTTGCATTTATGATACTGCTGTCCTCAAACCGGTAAGAGAAATAGCTTCATCTGTGATTTTGAGACTTTTGAATGGTACCATTTTGTATCCTTGCTTTTAGGAAGATGAGTCTGTACATTTATAATTTTCCATTAAAATCAAGCATTCTTTTTGATTCCTGCTTTGCATTTGTTTTTGTTGCTTTCTTATGCATCTTTTAGAAAGTGTTCTGTAGATATTTTAAGTCCATTTGTTTTCAGCATGACTATTTTTCTTCTTTGAAATATTTTTTAACCCAAACCTGTGGATTGCATTTGTAAATTTATATTGGAAAACAAAGGGAAACAGTTTTAGAGTTTTACAAACTGTTTTTAAAAAGAATTTCACGCATCCATTCATCATTCAATCAACACTTTTAAACACTTATCTTGAAGATGAATCAGGTATGAACCCTGTCTTCAAGGGGCTTAGAATCTAGTTGTAGAGATAAGCTTTGTACAATTCAGAAAGTGGTAACTCAAACAAGAAGGATATAATGAGCAGGGAAGGCCTCAAGGCAATGTAAGATGTAGGATAGGTAGCTTTTGGATATTCTAGAGGGTAAATTGAGGAGAAGAAGCTTTTCAGGTGGAGAACATAGAATGAAGAAGGAGTTGGAGGATAGACTTTAACTTTGTATGAATGAGGCATATTAGGTTCACCAGCCTGACTGAATTAGAGTAGATTCTTTTTGAGAGTAGTAGGAAATAATGATATAGAATGGGGTCAGATTAGAAGGCAGTAGATTTTTAACTTGGTATGTGTGGTAGGTGTGGTGCAGCTTGTGAGCCGCTGGATACATGTGTTTTAGGACAGTTCTGCTTGTTAGAGACTCTTATCTTACTGTCTTAAATTACTGCTACAGCTTTTTAACAGATCTCCTTCTATTAATTCTCAGTCCATTCTCTGTGATACTTTCCAGAATGATTCTGTCCGTTACCGATTTAAATACTTCAGTGTCTCCTCACTGCCTTCAGGATAAAAATTCAAATTCCTTAGCATGGCACGTGAAGTGTTTCATGTGCCATTCTGCCTCCCTGACCTTGCATCTCATTATCCTCACTCCTCCTCCACCACTCTTTATTGGGTGGGGTTTTCCTCTGGCATCTACTATAGTCACTTGTGGATTTTCCATTACTTCATGGGTATAATGTTTTAAGAAAGATTGGTGGTGACATAAGAAGAAATTGCCTTTATGACACCTGGAAGATGTACAGTTTCCAAGTCCCATTTTTTTCTGGGTTTTTGGTGGCTTCCAGACTTTTAGATTATGTCGATATTTAATTTACAAAAATGAAATCTTTAGATTTTGCCAAGAAGAGCCATTAAAACAAACAAGTATCGTCTTTCTTTGAATTTTTAGAATAAAAGACACTTTACTATCGAACAGCGCGGGAAGGACATGTTCTCAGAAGAATAGTTTTTAAATTGAATGACTAAATTTATATTTCCAGCCCAGACTTCTCTCCTGAACCTCAGACTTTTGTATTTGGCGGCCTATTTGACATTTTCACTTACAAATCTAATGAGTATCCTATGATGAACATGTCTAAAAGGGAACTCCAGATTTCCATTCTTGCCACTCCCATCCCCTAGAAGCCTGTACTATCTGTAGCCTGTTCTATATTTTTTAATCACAGCACTTGTCACCTTCTAACATACCATATAATTATTCTTCATTATGTTTATTATTTCTTGTCAGTTTCCCCTGTTTGAATGTAAGCTCCAGGAAGGCAGGGATCTTCCTTTTCTTCACTGTTGAGTCTCGGATGTGTCAAGCATAGTAGGCACACAATATTGAATGAATGAGTGAATGACTAAAATTCAGCGTGTTGAAAAACTCACTGTATTGTCCTTATTGTTTATTTATTTTTTTCATTTTATTGAAAATTTCAAACATCATCCCGGACCTGTGTTGGAAGTGGGGAATTGCCCAATGAAGGAGCGAGGATGCTATATTTCTGTCTTCCCAGGGTTAGAATTCTGAATGTTTTTGTGCACATGTAAAACCCTACAAAATGACCGGGATTATTGTGTGCTTTGGTATATAGAAGTTAAACTGACTTGATCTAGTCGTGTGTCTTATTGTTTCCCTTTACGAATAAATTGAGTTCCATATAAACAACTTTCAAATTAGCTTTTGTAACATATTTGTAAATTCAGATTTAATGAAACCTTATTAACCACTTAGTTTTATTAATCACTCTCTTACCATAATGTTTTGAATATAACTCTATTGTGGAAGTTAGTGCATTATATTGTAGTTATTTGTTTATGTATTTGTTGCCCCAACTGAATTATAAGTTGAATATAGGGAACATAGGCTTATCTTTTTCTTGTACCTAAAAATGTAACTGGAAAGTATTAGATGGGCAATAATTGCTTGTTTAATGAATAAATAAGAGGCAAGGAGCTAGATAGGTTAACAAGTAGTGATTGATTTAATCTTCATAACCTAGTGGTTGACATTATCCCTGTTTTCAGACAAAGAAACAGGCAGAGAAGTTAAGTAATTTATTTCAGATTCTATGACTATGAAGTAGCAGTACCAGAAAGTTGAGGATCGTGTATATATGTATTTTTATTGATGTAATAATAGTTTATAACATTGTGAAATTTCAGTTGTACATTATTATTTGTCAGTCACCATATATATGTGCCCCTTTACCCTTTGTGCCCACCCCTCAATCCTATTCCCCTCTAATAACCACTGAACTATTCTCTTTGTCCATGTGTTCATCTTCCACATCTGAGTGAAATCATACGGTGTTTGTCTTTTTCTGTCTAGTTTATTTTGCTTAACATAGTACCCTCAAGGTCCATCCATGTTGTTGCTAATGGGACAATTTTTCTTTTTTTATGGCTGAGTAGTATTCCATCATCTGTATATATTACATCTTCTTTATCCATTCGTCTGTTACTGGGCATTTGGATTGATTCCATGTCTTGGATATTGTGAATAATGCTGCAGTGAACGTAGGGGTGCATAAATCTCTTTGAATTGTTGATTTCAAGTTCTTTGGATAAATACCCAGGAGTGGGATAGCTGGGTCCTATGGTATTTCCATTTTTAATTTTTTGAGAAATCTCCCTACTGTTTTCCATAGTGGCTGCACCAGTTTGCATTCCCACCAGCAGTGTATGAGGAGTCCCTTTTCTCCACAACCTCTCCAACATTTGTTATTTTTTGTCTTGGTAATTATTGCCATTCTAACAGATATAATAAGGTGATATCTCATTGTAGTTTTGATTTGCATTTCCCTAACGATTAGTGATGTTGAACATCTTTTCGTGTGCCTGTTGACCATCTGTATATCTTCTTTGGAAAAATGTCTGTTTATATCCTCTCCCCATTTTTTGACCGACTTGTTTGTTTTTTTGTTGTTGAGTTGTGTGAGTTCTTGATATATTTTGGAGATTAACCCCTTGTTGGACATATGATTTCCAAATATTTTCTCCCACTTGGTGGGCTGTCTTTTCATTTTGTTCCTGGTTTCCTTTGCCTTGCAGAAGCTCTTTAGTCTGATGAAGTTCCACTTGTTTATTTTTTCTTTTGTTTTCCTTCCCTGAGTAGACATGGTATTCGAAAAGATGCTTCTAAGACCAGTGTCAAAGAGTGTACTGCCTGTATTTTCTTCTACTGTTTTATGGTTTTAGGTCTTAGCTTTAAGTCTTTAATCCATTTTGAGTTAATTTTTGTGTATGGTGTAAGATAATGGTCTACTTTCATTCTTTTGCATGTGGCTGTCCAGTTTTCCCAACATCATTTATTGAAGAGACTTTCCTTTGTCCATTTTATGTTCTTGGCTCCTTTGTCAAAGATTGGCTCTCCACAGATGTGTGGTTTTATTTCTGGGCTGTCAACTCTGTTCCATTGATCTGTGTGTCTGTTTTTGTACCAGTACCATGCTGTTTTGATTATTGGGATTGTGTATATTTTTTACTAATCCCTTGTGTTTGTGTTCTAGTGTTCAAAGAGATGATGCATTTTTTTATCCTCCTTGATCCTTACACCAGCTTTGGTAGGTAGGCAGAACAGATACCATTCACATTTTATGGAAGAAGAAAGTCTAGTCAGGGAGAGTAAGTGACTTGTTCAGTGTTATACAACTAAGTGCTGAGGATAGTCCTAGAGCACAGGTCTTTTGACTCCTAGTCTAATGCTTTGTCGACTACACTGCATTACTAAATATTTGATGAACAAGAATGGAGGGACACATAAAGAATCAATGTTCACAGCATATATCTTCTGGCACTTGAGTAGATATCTACTCACTTAATCACAGGAAAATCAGAAAAAAACATTATTGCAGCATTCGTAAGGATATTTGTGAGGAAGTTTAAATTTGTCTTAAGAACAAAAGAACAGTAAGGCATTAAGAATGAGGAATATGTGCTTAGAAGAGGAATATAAATTGGAAAAGAGTTTCCTTTTTTCCCATGGTTTTGATCATCTGGAATCAGTAGATATATATGAATTGCGAATGAAAATTAAGATCTGATTCTCCTCCTCAGGAAGTTGTTGATTTGAAGAAAATTCTCTTTTTTCTAATTACTTTTGGTATGATCTCTATAGATTTGTAGTTTCTGTCATCTCCATTTCATTCTTTTGCTCTGCATAATGTAATAGTTTAGAATATAGAATGTAAAGACATATTTATGAAACATTTTATGAAGGCAATTAGGTAATATATTTTTTTAATGTGTATATATACAGAAAAATTTTCTATCTACGAGTGAAACAGATCCATCTACTCTGGGAGTTTCTCTTCCTATTGGTGAGAGGTTATCTGCCAAGGTAGGTGGATATGAGTAATTATTGTGGGTAGCAGTTTTATGAGGCATCAAAATCATGAAAGAACATAGTCCTGATTTAAATGCAAATAGATTACATCACTTGCCGTACTTGAATGTATTTCTTTTTCAAAAATCTGTAGAGTCTCTAGTTGTACTGTTTAAAAATTTTTTTGAATGTTAATTTGTGACCATGTAATGTGATATATTTCTTTAATATGTGATTAATTGGATATTCAGAATTCAGTTTTTTCAGCGTTGGTTTCTGAGCTATTTAAAGTTCATGATGTGACACAGTTACCCAGTTAGGGGGTGAGAGTATACTGAGCTTTTATGTAGGATGAGGTCTGGGGCCATTTGAATGTGTATTTCTGTCACTCCGCAAGTACATGCACGTACTTGTTAGAGGTGGTAGCGATAAAGCACTGTACACCTCTTGTAGAGAATTCCCAAGCTAGATGAGAGATCGTGACATAGTATGTAAGACAAAGTAGACAGTTAATAAGTTTCAAAAGATGACCTAGTTTCTTTAATAGTTTTTTAGATTGTGCTTTTCAGTTACATTGGAGATATTAGGGTTTAAGAACATTTCCTAATGTAATATATTTGTGTTTTAAGAGAACATTTACATTATAATATTTTAGTGTCCATGATAATTTTACCTTTCTATGTTTAAACTATAACAAGGATCCTTCTTTATCCTTGGGAAAGAAATGCTTGGCAGCAGGTCTTTTTTTTTTTTTTAAGGATTCTTCATTTGATTTTTTTTTTTTTTGAGGAAGATTAGCCCTGAGCTAACTGCCGCCGGTCCTCGTCTTTTTGCTGAGGAATGCTGGCCCTGAGCTAACATCCGTGCCCATCTTCCTTTACTTTATATGTGGGATGCCTGCCACAGCATGGCTTGTCAAGCGGTGTCACGTGCACACCCGGGATCTGAACCAGCGAACTCCGGGCTGCCGAAGCGGAATGTGCGAGCTTAAGTGCTGTGCCACCAGGCTGGCCCCTAGTAGCGGGTCTTTTGAGAGTGGGGTGGGGGGTTGGAGGCAGGAGATGTCTCTGAGAAGGAAAGAAGGAAGGTAACCCTGTCAAATCTTCTTGGAAACATGCTACTTACAGAGCTCCTGGCAAACACTTTCATGTATTTACTAGTGGGAGAGATTTATTTATGAATGCTTTTGGCAGAGTGTATCTGGATTGTCCAGGATTGCTGCTGGTAACAAACCTAGAATCTATGGATTTATGGAGCATGGCTCCTTGGAAAATGTTATCTAAGCTTTGTAAGTACTAGAGTATACAATGGAGATGTTTCACAACAGAAGCAACTCCCTTCTTCTAACACAGGGGATACTTCATTTGTTAATCTGGACCTTAGCATGTAGTAATGTGTATTTTAATGTGGCAAGAAAGGATGTGGGGAATTGCATTGGTGGTCTTGGACCTCTTGCTTCTCCTGTGCGTTGCAACTTGAAATTGTTAGAAAGGTGGATTCTGGGTAAGATCTCTGATTTTTGTGGGTCAATTTGACATTAAGGTACTTTTTCCTCAACTTAAAGTTAACATTGCCTTTTGGTCTCTATTTTAAGGAAAGGTTGAAACTTGAACGCAACAAAGAATATAATCAATTTCTGAGGGGTAAAGAAGAATCCCTTGAAAAGTTCAGACAGGTAGAAAAGAGTACTGAGGTAGGTTTTGCTTTTAAAGTAAATCTTTAACACCACAGTTTGAATGTTTTATACTTACTTGAAAATAGCTTTGTGTGTTAGACATTTCACTTGGTTTTGTGTAAATATTTAAAAAATTAAGCCAAATTAAACCAAATACGTAATATGTATAAATATATATTTTTAGTTTTGTAAGTGGTTTTATCTCGTATTTAAGAACTTACTCTATCTTTTAACTTCAACTTCACGGGGAGATTTAATTTTAGAGATTGATTTTAAGTGATTATTTTTTATTTTTAAGTGATTTTTTTTTTACATTGACAATTTCTAGCTGTATATTTTTTCCCCCAATTTAAGGATGATTGATGTTACAAGAGCCAAAAAATTTACTGCCTTCTATATTCTGTGTGTTGAAAAAATTTAATTTGTTTATTTTTTCTTTTTGAGGAAGATTAACCCTGAGCTAACATCTGCTGCCAATCCTCCTTGTTTTGCTAAGGCAGATTGGCCCTGAGCTCTTATCCGTGCCCATCTTCTTCTACGCCATGTGTGGGACACCTGCCACAGCATGGCTTGATAAACAGTGCATATGTCTGTGCCCGGGATCCGAACTGGCAAATCCCAGGTCACGGAAGCAGAGCATACAAACTTAACTGCTATGCTACTGGGCAGACCCCCTGATTTGAATATTTTGAAGCAGAATTTAAGTGCCAAAATATGCCTAATATCTCCTGGGATAGGAATTTGTATTTACTTTATCCTCTCTTTTTGTAGCCACTTATCCATATTTTTCTTGCCTGTCTATTTGATGTTTATTAAGTTTTATTGAAGGATAATATGTCCTTGAAGTTTTTTTTAAAGATAAGATATTTCTTATGGGTGATTAAGCCTTAGAGTTGAGATGATAAATAGACTAAGCATCACTTGAGGGTTTACTTACCTTTTATGAAATAGCATCTCATTAAGATTTGTTTCTCTTTTTCTTTTTTAATTGACCAGCACAACAGTCAGAGAAATAAAAAACCTATCAGCCAGGTTAAACCTGATTTACCTCCACAAATACACACATCTTGGGAAAATTCAGAGGGTCCTAGGAGAGAAATCTTAACTCCTTCAGAAACATATGAAGAGCTCCTAAACCAAAGGCGACTAGAGGAGGACAGATATCGACAACTAGATGATGAAATTGAATTAAGGAATAGAAGAGTCATTCAGAAAACTAATGAAGAAGTGGGCATTTCCAATAAAAAACATCAAAGTTTTGCCAACAAGGCTGACATCTCAGATAGAAGATTTCGCAGGTTTAATGAGGATCGTGTTTTTGATAGACAGTATTATAGACCAGACCAAGATCCTGAAGGAAGTGAAGAAATGGACGAGAGGTTTAGATATGAAAGTGATTTTGATAGAAGACTTTTGAGAGTGTATACAAATGACAGGTATTTACAACTTCATTTTTACTTTCTTTATTTGCTTGATATTACTGTTATTACTTTTTATCATTATATTAGGGAGAAGCAGTCTCATTTGATTTACATATTTGATTAATTCTAAGATGCTGTTGGTTTTAAGATGCACAATTATTTTATGTGCCACTGAGGGAACAAAGAAAACACCCAAGATGAGGAGAAAGGAACTCCCTTGTAAAGCTGGGACACTGAAAGGCTACAACCTTTATGTAAAATTAAATAGGACATAAACTTTCTCACAGAAAGGGACAGAAAAGAAACTTCCATGTCTCAACGTTGGCACTTGAGTTGAGGGAGGAAAAAAAAAAAAAAATTCCCTGAGAGTTTGAACTGTAAGCCAGTACTGATTCAAGTTTTCAGTCCAGATTCATGCTGCCAGTATTGTCCAAAAAAAGCTCGAGGTGAGAATTCAAAGTTCTCTCAGATTCATAGTGCCCTGAGGTGACTGGCAGGGGAAAAATAACTTTTCTCTGCAATAACTTGATTTAAAACCAGAGTGGTGGCTGTCCCAGTTTCAGATGTTAAAAATATGGAAAAAAGGACACCTTAAAATAGGTGAAATACAGTTTATTCCTTTAATGTTCCTCTCCTCTAAGTACTTTTTAAAAAAATTATTTATTTATTTATTTTTTGAGGAAGATTAGCCCTGAGCTAACATCTGCTGCCAATCCTCCTCTTTTTGCTGAGGAAGACTGACCCTGAGCTAACATCCATGCCCATCTTCCTCTACTTTATATGTGGGATGTCTACTACAGCATGGCTTGACAAGCGATGCCGTGTGCACACCCGGGACCCCAACTGGCAAACTCCGGGCCGCCGAAGCGGAATGTGTGCACTTAACCACTGTGCCACCAGGCTGGCCCCTCCACTAAGTACTTTTATCAATATATTTTGTTGTTTTTAAGTTATTTATCGAACATTTATTTAAGGAAAATGGCACTGAATTGTTTTGGTCAAATTTTCAGTTGCTTTTCAGTTCCTTGGGATGATTTTTTTTTTTTTTTTTGACATGATTTGTAGTTTCTTAAGTGCCACAGTGGGGTCTTCTTTTATTGTCATTTATCTTAATACTTAAAACTTACTATTTTTTAATCTAACTTTTGATTTGAAGTTAGAAATATGACAGGGTCCCCTATTTGTCATTGTTAACTTGAAAGGGTTAAATCTAAATTTTGGGCAGTTTATGGGACCCCTTACATTTATTAGTCCAAATAGATTACTTTTTTACTATTTTAGGAAATTTCCTGAGACATAATACTGCACATTCAGTAATCTAATCATTAATAATAATACAAAGCCTTTACAGTTCTTTGCCATCTATTCTTTATTCTGTAGCTATTATGTTCTGCTCACCCAATCTTTTTAATATTCTCCTTGAATTAGGTAATTTGAGTGAAGGATTAGAATTTTGCAGTGCCACTTGTAGTTTATCTCTGATTTGAATCTAATTGTTTGTACTTCAGAAAGTGCTCCAAATCCTGTAATGTGTTATATTTGAAAATGTTTGTATCTGAAGGTAGTCAAAGACTGCCTAATCCAAAAGAACTTTCAATTGGGGAACTGCAGGTAATCTTGGACTCTTGGTGCCTTCTTTGTATGTGAGAACTTTTTTTTCTTTATGGTGTCTGTTTACCTTTAGAGTGTAATGTAATACTTAACCATTTTTTTTGGTGAGGAAGATTAGCCCTGAGCGAATATATACCTCCGATTCTCCTCCTTTTGCTGAGCAAAACTGGCCCTGAGCTAACATCTGCTGCCAGTCCTCCTCTTTTTGCTGAGGAAGACTGGCCCTGAGCTAACATCTGTGCCCATCTTCCTCTACTTTATATGTGGGACGCCTACCACAGCATGGCTTGATAAGTGGTGCATAGGTCTGTGCCCCGCATCTGAACCTGCAAACCCTGGGCTGCTGAAGCAGAGCATGTGACTTAACCACTATGCCACCAGGCCAACCCCCTAATGCATACCTTTTAAATTTGGAATTTCAAGAAACTTACTGTGGTGGTTGTTGCTTTGTTTTTTATATATTTTATTAGTTTTATAATTATACTCTGTGATAATTTTATGCATGAACTAACAAATGAATTTCAGCCTAATTATTTGAGAATCACCTTATTTTCTTATCTATCCCATAAATGAAGTGAACTCTTTCTATATAATCTTCCCCAGGTAGTATTTTAAGAATAGATTAAACATGAGGATGAGTGACAATAATTCCTGTTACACATTTAAAAATTTTTTAAAGTGTTTCTTCAAAATGTAAATCCTTATTATACGTTACTTCCATGTTGTCAGTGTTTAAACTCTTACCTTGTCTCTACGGCAGTTGAGGTTAAAATTGAATTTCTGTATTTCAGATATGTGGGTTCCTTATGTCCAGCAAAAAAAAACGACTTCACATCAATCATTCAGTCGTTTTTATTTACCAGGTGCAGTGGTTGTTAGGAAAAATGACTACATGTTAGTGAAATGTTTGAGACTAAAGAAATGTGTAACTGCATTTGGTCTCATGCTCTAACCATTTATTCTTATATACTGTAATCTTAACCAGAAGTTCGTGATAAAAAATAGTTATAACTGATGTGAGAAGTACAAAATTAATTTTTCTTTATTCTTCATTTCCCTTGTTCTCTTTTTTCTTCTAAAAGTCAGCATGTGATAAATTCTAGTTTTGATTTATGATAATTTTTTATTTTTATATTTTTGGTCTCAGTTCTTTTCTAATTACCCTTTAGACTTTTTCATATACCACAATGTATTTATTAATGAAATATTTTCCCCACTTGAAATATGGAAAAGCTAAAGCCAGGAAATGATTTTACTTTCTTAAACTCATCATTAATCACTGAGAGTGTTTTAGTTAACAAAGTGGTTAGCTCTTTGCTTGACTGTTGCATTCTCTGTGTGTGTATTATTTATTAATACATATACCAATTTGAGTAAAATTTATAATGTTTTAGGAGCTTCCTAAAGTTGAATGGAATAGTGTGTCTTATAATGCTTGAAATTTATAGGTTCTTTTTAAATATAGTCATTCTAGTCTTTATTATGTATTAACTTGAGGTATAGAAGTTAATGTATTACCTTATTGTGTTTTACTTTATAACCAATGTTAATGAGTAAAAGAAATTATTAGCATGAAAAAGCTGGTTTTTTAGTTTTTATGTGATTAATTCAGTTAGTGCTAATATTTGTTAGTTTATAATCTCAGCAGTTATTTAATAAAATTCTGAAATAACACTCTATCTGAAAGGAGAATATGTATGTTAGCTACATGGATTGAGTGCTTGCTTACTTAGTGTAGGATGTTCTAAGAAGTGTGCATGCTTAATATGTAAGACATAAATGAGGAGATGTGGCTTGTTAGAACAATGAGTTATTTAATTTTTTATTATTTTTTTTCTTATAGTAGTTAATTTTCACTTATCTTTGGAAGGGCCATTTTAATTATTTTCCCCACTTTAAACATCTGGTTGATATTAGAAAAACACTTGTTATTGAATTAAAGTAAATATAAAGTTGGGAAAGAACTGAAAACAATGAGAAAAATAGTGATCCCCAGTTAACAGTTCAGTATTTTTCTTGTAACTTCGGCAGTTGAAAGCATCCCTAATAGCAGAATTCGTTCACATTAGATAAATTCTTGGTATGAAAGCAAGATGATGTAACAATTATTATGAATTATATGATTTTCTTTTAAGTAAGGATAAATTTGATTCTTTCTCTCTGAGCTGTATCAACCTAGGACCAATATCTAGATGGTAATATTTTACTTTTATAATGTGTTATTCTTGATAGCATAAACATTGTAAATTTATTTCTGAAGTAGTTTGATTCTGTGGTTTATGAAGGAAAAAAGATAAGTTATTCATTATCATTTAGGAGTTGTTCATTCGGATTTAAATTAGTTTGCTGAAAATACCTGTGGTTTTCAATTTTTTTTCTTAAGATTTTATTTTTCCTTTTTCTCCCTAAAGCCCCCTGGTACATAGTTGTATATTTTTAGTTGTGGCTCAATACCTGTGGTTTTAAACAATTCGGTTTTCTTCTGTAAGAGAGTAATTTTTTATTTTTAGATAAACACACTTGTTAATTTTTAGAGTAAACTTAGTTTCTTTGAGTATTGAGATTTGAATCCAGTTAACTAGAGTTATTGACCCATGTCTTCAAGAAAATAGAAAAAGCCTTTTCCATTTAACATACTTTTGACTTTTCTGTTTTTGATAGTAGGATGGTAAAGTAATTTTACAGTTATTTCATTCCCTCAATCAAATCTGATTTTCTATGTCAAAGGAAGAAGATTCTTTCTTTTATGAGGTTTGTCCCTTTCTGACAAAACCTAATGTATTGAGGTGTGGTTAGTGAACCTATGGATTTAAAATGTATTTAGATAGATTAATTCTGGGTCACAGCTATAGTTTTAATCTGTTCTAAAACTATAGCTAAACAGAAAGGACTTCTCAGGGGCAAACTAGACCTAACCTGAACCCCTGGACTGTGATTAGAATCAGACTGTTCTTAGACATTTAGAGAGTTCATTACTTCTGGATAGTACCATTCCTTAATCTTGGGAGGATTTAAGAGAGAGCAATAGTAAAACTACTACTGGCTTTCATGAATTCCCGTCTGCAGATAGGACTTCATTTTCCTCAGTAAAGTTTTCTAAAATAAATTGTAAGACCACCGTTAAAGCTGTTAAAGTAAACTAAAAGGGATAATTGAGTGACTAAATGCTAAATTTATTAGAAATATGAAAGTTAGTTCAATAAATGAAGGAAATTCCATTACAATTATAGGGATATTTTTATAGAAAATAAGGTGTCTAACTTTCCAGACTATAATTTGGCTTCATAGCTTGTTAAGTTCTTGTCTAGTTTTTTTTTTTTTTTTAAGATCTTATATTAGTAACTTATGGGAAAATATTTATGGAGTCTCTCTTTGTATATAGTAATTTTTTCTTGATTTAACAAAGTAAGCATCATATCATCATATCAAAAACAATCATATCATCAGTCATTTCATAAATTGATTAGGATGCCTTAAGATTTTATTTTATCCTTTGTAGTGAAATGCATATTTAGGAGTGAGGAAGGTTGGCCCTGAGCCAACATTTCTTGCTAATCTTCCTCTTTTTGCTTGAGGAAGATTGTCGCTGAGCTGACATCTATGCCAATCTTCCTCTATTTTATGTGATGCCGCCACAGTGCCGCTTGATGAGTGGTATTAGGTCTGCACCTAGGATCTGAATCTGCGAACCCCAGGCCACCGAAGCAGAGCATGCGAACTTAGCCACTACGCCACTGGGCTGGCCCTGTCTCCACTCTTGATTTTATTTTAATTATCAGTGACAGAGGGGACTTTTATAATTTTGTTAATCAATTTTTTTCTTTAGTGAAGGGGTACACCTTAAACTATTTTTCATATGGGCAGTTCATTAGGAAATCTTTGTGATTTTACTGTAGAATTTAGCAGAGACCTTTGACCTTATACATAAATAAAATCATTTCTTAAATTTCTTTAATTCAGAATGAACTTTGAAAATATACTTTTGTGCTTAACGGTGCTTGCTTTACTAAGATATCTATACATATTGAAGAAACTGTAAAACATTTTGTAGTGTAGATGCTTTGGATCCAGCATACTTTGAGTATAGCTGTGTAAAGATAAGCTAGAATTGCAAGTCCAAATGTTGTCTTTAGACAGCTTAACTGAAAATGCAGCAAGTCACAAACTCTTCAGTACATTTTAGAAAGGATTTTTGTATGTCCAAGTAGCCTTTAATTCTGGTTAATTCTGATTTAATCTCAAGTCATGTTTTAAATAATTTGTGAATTTAAATTTCTCTATATTTGAAAACTTTCACTGATATATAGGCACCACTTTACCACATCAACTAATTTGCTTTTGTCTCTTGTGTCATGGGTTCACAACACCATTCCCAGGTTTGGTGATTCCCTAGGAGGACTCACGGGACTTTGTATATATAGTTATATTCACGGCTATGATTTATTACAGTGAAAGGATACAAAGTACAGTCAGCAAAGGAAAAAGAAGCATGGGTCAAAGTCTGAAGGAAATCAGGCACAAGCTTCCAAGAGTCCTCTCACTGTGGAGTCACACAGGACAGGCTTAATTCCTTCAGCAGTGAATTGTGACAACATCGGTGAAATGTCTACCAGGAAAGCTCAGTTAGAAACTCAGTGCCCAATGTTTTTATTGGGGGCTGGTTACATAGGCACCCTTTTCCTAGCATGTACCAAAATTCTGGACTTCCTGAAGGAAAGCAGATGTTCAACGTAAATTATATTGTTTGCAGTTTAGGCAGAGTGAGCCACTCTTGCCAGTTCTGAGAATGGTAGGACCCCTCCCCAAATCTAGGTTCCCAGGTCCCAGCCAAGGGCCAGCCTCGAAAACAGGCTAGCCCAGGCTAAGGGTAGGCAATCTCTGGCCTGCTGTGTTAACTTTTTTCTGTGCATGGCTGTTCATATAGATCCAGCATAACTAAATTGGTTGCCTGATATTGTTAATTACAAATTTGAATTTTAGTTTATATTTATCTGTTCTTTAAGTGGTAAAAATACAAAATGACACTAAACGGATGTGTTAGTTTAAAAGAGAGATTTGAGCACTTATTTAGGCTTTAGGTATGAAGTCAGCTGTGTTTCGATAAATTGAAGGAAACTTGAAGTTCTGTTTTAAAAGGGCTTGTGGAGAGTTTTGTTGTTTTAGATATGGATGAAAAAATGGAAGCCATTTATGTGTCATGCCGGGTCATACATTATTAAGGTTACACTTCTGGATAGTCCTTTCTCCACAGATGGTATTGACAATAGCTTGTGTGATGGAAACAAATGAAGAAAGAATTTTATATGCTGGCTTAGTGGAGAGTGATAAGTTCCTTTTCTTCTAAAAATTGCTGTTTTTGATGTGATAATGAAATTCACCGAAAGTATTGAATAATACTTTAACAGCCATATTTCATTCTAATACTCCTCTTGATAGACAATATAAGTTAACCCAACAGCCACATAAAGAAATATGATTTATGAAATGCTGATTTTCATGGATGCTGATAAATGTTGGTATGAAAAGTCATGTTAGTTTCTCTGGTATGAGAAATTAAGCGAAAGAAATCAGTGTTTGCCAAATGGAAAAAAGAAAGATTAATTGAAAATATTAGAAGAAAAAAACCATTCTACTCTTTCTTTTCGTTATTCCTGACCTTGTAAGTAATGTGAACTAATCGTCTACTCATGTATCAGCCTATTTGTTTATAATGTTTTCTATTCCTATTGCTAATATTTGCTCTTTCATGTCATTTAGTGTTAGCAGATGTGTGGCTTGCTACATTTGATTTAATTTAATGGTAAGACTGCTGCTGTATTTTTAAGTTAAAAAGGTTTGTATATGCAGTTGAATAATTCCCAGAACCTATGAATTTAGATTAAAAAAAGATCTCATTTTGAAATTTGTCTGTAATCTTCATGAGGGCAAGGACAATGTCCATATATCCAATGCCTAGAATAGTAGCTGGCACATAGTATGTGCTCAGTAACTATTTGAATAAGTGAGTGATTAAAAAAGTCAGTATATGAACAGGTTTTTTTTTTTTTGTTTTTTTTTTTGGTGAGAAAGATTGGCCCTGAACTAACACCTGTTGCCAATCTTCTTATTTTTGCTTGAGGAAAATTGTTGCTGAGCTAACCTTGGTGCCAGTCTTCCTCTGTTTTGTATGTGGGATGCTGCCACAGCATGGCTTGATGAGCAGTGTGCAGGTCTGCCCGTGGAATCTGAACGTGTGAACCCTGGGCTGCCAAAGTGGATCGTGCGAATTTAACCACTATGCCACCGGGCCAGCCTCGATTGCACAGTTTTGAAATTAAAAGTTTCCAGAAGTTATATTGAAGTAATTTGTAATAACCTCCTTTTGTTTTAAAGACTATTGACTCTAAACTTTTAGTGTTTCTTATTAACCAGCAGATCATACTTGAATCAAATCTCATTGGAATTAATTTTAGAATGTGTTTACAGCAAAAATTCATTATAACATTTTGTTCCCTTTAATATTTCCATCATCAAATGTAAAACCACCAAAGAGATAGAGGAACATCCACTGTATGTGGAACAAGTTCTGTAAGCTAATGTGTTTTTAAGGATGTACGGGAACAGACGAGGGAGTGTGCCTCCTGTGGAGTGTGGTGGTGATGTCACAGAACAGTCAAACATACGAATTTCATCTGCTGGAAATAAAAGGTATAGTATGTAATATAAATTCTGCCCTTTAGTGATTTCACTGTGAAAAGCACCTGCTAAAATTGGCTTACGGAAGAAGTAGAAAGGTATAGTATTTTAACAGCCTCCTTATTAGTGAGAAAGGAATTAAAGGGAAAAGAAGGGAGAGGATCAAGATGTGTTAAAGGAAAATTTTTAGTACTTTACAACATTCTTTTGTAGAACAAGTTTTGGTTATAAAGTGTGCCAAGGTATTCTGAATAAGTTCCTATCATTATAAAGTATATAAATTTGTTTGAAATAATGAAAGGAAAAATAAGCATATAATTTAATGGACTAAAAATCAATTTAAGGGGCTGGCCCCGTGGCCGAGTGTTAAGTTCGCGCGCTCTGCTGCAGGCGGCCCAGTGTTTCGTTGGTTCGAATCCTGGGCGCGGACATGGCACTGCTCATCAAACCATGCTGAGGCAGCGTCCCACATACCACAACTAGAAGAACCCACAACGAGAAATATACAAATATGTACCGGGGGGCTTTGGGGAGAAAAAGGAAAAAATAAAATCTTAAAAAAAAAAATTCTTATAAAAAAAAATCAATTTAAAATATCTTGGGAGTTATGAGGGTGAGATAACTGGAAATAAATTGAAAGTGTTTCTGCAATGTGAGTTTTCCTTTCAAAACTTTGTTTTTTATTTTCAGCTTATTGAGTAGATAACTTTTAGCTTACTGTGTAAAATTAGTACTCATGCATAGTTCTGTCATGTTGAAAAGAAAGGAAATTATATGTATTTTATTTTCATGTTCTCTATTTATAATTTTTATCATTTTTATGAGGCTTTCTTGTATCATATACAAGAATAAATGGTTCCAAACCTATAGTGTATAGTGAAGATAATATTGTCATATGGCAGGAAGGGTGTCTATTTTCTTTGAAGAAAACTATATATATATGTATAAATGATAAGAGAATTTGTTGTTTGGGTCTGATTAGTTCAGTCTTCTTTGAGGGAGTTGTCTTTTCTCTCCTCGTTCATATCTTTTTTTTCTTTTAAAGATTGGCACCTGAGCTAACAACTGTTGCCAATCTTCTCTTTTTTTCCTGCTGCTTTTTCTCCCCATATCCCCCCAGTACGTAGTTGTGTATTTGAGTTGTGAGTCCTTCTAGTTGTGGCACGTGGAATGCCACCTCAACGTGGCCTGATGAGTGGTGCCATGTCTGCGCCTCGGATCCGAACCAGCAAAACCCTGGGCTGCCGAAGCAGGCGCTCGAACTTAACCACCTGGCCACGGGGCCAGCCCCTCATTCGTATCTTTTAAAGAAGGAGTTTTTTAGGAATGATCTTTTTTTCCAAGTGTGTGCGCAGGTATCACCATTGTCTTCTTTTTTAGGATTTATTTATGTGTACTTATATTCATTTTCCTTACTGGGGTAACTGTTCTTATGAAAAAGGGTTTTATTGGGAATCTGTAGAGCCAGTGAAGCAGGCTGAAGAAGAAGGTTACATGTTTATAGATCCTGAATATATAGGGGTCCCACTGTATAAAGAGAGAAAATGCCATGCTTTTACCCTAACTTTAAAAATATGTAACTTTAATAGTGTCCATAGTACTTTGAAGGTCAATAACTCCTACTTACATTTTACTCTAAATTTTTGTTTTCTGAAAATTATTTGGGTTCTAATTCTTTTTGATTTGTTTTAGTGCTCGAGACAATGAACCATCCAAAACTACTAACCGAGAGATCTGCAGTCCTTTTGCGGGGATGCTCTTTGGTATGTACAACACTGCCAGTTGATTAAACTTTTGCAGAATGTTTTATAAAAGGTCTTTAGTGAGAACTCGGTGTTGTAATTAATACTACCCATGCTAATAGTAGAAAATGTTTATCTAGTGCTTACTTTATGATAGGCACTATGCTAAGTATTTAACATGTATTTATAGCTCTATGTGTAATTTTAAAGCTAAATATCTTTTATGTAGTGATGAGCTTTCTATAGATGATAAATGAATATTAATTTCAGTAATAAGCTTTTAATTTCATATTTGATTAGCACTTTGTTGTATTGTGCCTATTTCTTATAATCTGTTTTATATGTTAATTTTTTTCTTCAGTCTTTTTCTTGTTTCTTTAGCTAGCACAAAACTGTCTTACATTTTAGTTTAATTCCCCTGAACTAAACCTTTTTATCCTTTGATAAACATCCTTTCTCATGTTCTTTCCATGTAATTTCTGAGGTGTTTTGTTCAAATCAGGGTCATAATCCAAATTTTCTATTTATTTTATCAGAAATGAAGGTCGTTGCTTAATAAGCATGTTGATTTGTTATATTAACTTGTTACAATTTAATTTCAGAAACAGTGTGAAGAGAGCCTTACTTCCTGTGTGTAACTTTAAATAGAAAAGAGGTTTCTTCTGTGGTGTAAAAAACTATTGGAAAACATTACCTGAAATTTAGTTTCAGTGAAATATATGAGGAAATTGGATAACAGTTTAGGTTCATTCAACCTAAAAGCAGTCAGTTATTTAAATCTTGGCTTAGAGATATGTAATTGCATGGTATTCTGAAACCTTTGCTTCCTTGAAATGGCTAGTTTGAGAAAAATGGCATAGCACTTTTATTCCAGTATAATGTCTTTAAGTGGGAATTGACCAATTTAACCTATTAGTAGGTCAGAGTAAAGGCTTCATTCATTCTTATGATGTATATTGTTAAAGATGGTAAAAATTGGAGAAATGGGCTTTCTGTGTTGAGTGCCCGCTGACAATTTTATCAACAAATGGATTATTCTACCCTGAAAATTTAAAGATTGAGTGGCATGAACTTACCATTAATGCAATCCAGAAATTGTGGATCAATATTTGGTGAGATAATAGACTCTAATGCTTGGAACTAAGCAATAAAGTCATTTAATCCAGTGATTTATCTCATGGTTATATTTTTTTCCCCTCAGCCTATATGAGTATATACCCATAGGGAACTCACTCTCTCCAGAAGCAGCATGTTCCATTTTTAGATGGCTGTAATTGTTATAATATTCTCATTTCAATTGAACTGAGATTTGTCTTCCTATGATTTTGCCCCAAGGACCTCATTTGGAGCCTTTTGCTTTATTTGAAAAATTAAAACAATTGACCACTTAGAGCAAAAATAATATATTGTGAGGTTTATAACAGAATCATGGGTTCTTTAGAAGTATGTTTTTAAATTTGCAAATATTTGGGGATTTTCATGCTGTCTTTTTGTTATTGATTGCTTATTTAATTCCTTTATGGTCTGAGGAGATAATTTGTATAATCTCACTTTGAGTTTTTTAATAAAACATTTTTTTTAATGGCTCAAAATATGGCCTATCTTGGTGAATGTTTAGTGTGTACTTGAAAGAATGTACATTGTGTGGTTGTTGAGTATAGTGATTTATAAATGTCAGTTAAGTCAATTTGATTGATAGTGATGTTCATGTCTTGTACTATCCTTATTGATTTTTAACTCTTCTTCTGCCATTTGCTTGAAGAGTTAAATTCTCTGACTGCCTTGTTCTTAGTATGGGGCCTGGAGTGGTGGAGGGATTTTCTCAGTGTTCCTGCACCTTCCTCAGTTTTCAGCAAGACCTGTATGCCCCTGACAGAGAGGGCGTCCCTCTCTCTCTCCACACTTCTCCTTCCTCAGCAGTGGATTACTGTTCCTTGTTCCTTAGTGCAAGGCTGGTCCTGTGCATCTGGTTCTCAGAAATGAGTCTTTAACCTCAGTGTTCCTGGCCCTCCCTGGAGTGGTAGCCAAACTCTCCTTTATGTCTGTGGAGGGTCTTCTGGGAGAATTCCCTGCCCTTCCCCTAATAGTAACAGATCTTTGTATAAGTGCAGAATTCTGGCTCCAGACAGGTTTTCTGCCCTTCAGCAGGTGGATTACGGCTATTGCTTTGTAGAAGAGAAGAGTCTGGAAAGCGAGCAGTGTTTTTTTTTTGCCTCAGAAAGGTCTCTTTCAGATTTCCTCCATTACTCCATCTCTGATCTCTCTTGTAAGCATCTAGTGGAGATGGGCAAGTGAGTGCAGATTCCTCTTGTGTCTGGGGCTTCCAGAGAATCTACATTGTTATTCCACCCTACACAATGCCTTTATGAATTTCAGTTACAGTCATGTGTCGTTTAACGATGGGAATAAGGTGTCGTTAGGCGATTTTGTTATTGTGGGTCCATCACAGAGTGTACTTAGATAAACCCAGATGGTATGTATAGTTTACTACACTCCTAGGCTGTATGATACTAATCTTATAGGACTACCGTAGTGTATGCGGCCCGTCGTTGACTGAAACTTAGTTATGTGGTGCATGACTGTATTTTCTTCTTACCTGCTTTTTTAAGGCAGCTGCCTTTCTCTATACTCTGGTGAAGATAAAACACTTGGCTTGTCTCATCTTCTTCGGATTGGTTTTTATACCTTTTGGAATTCAGTGAACGTGGTTGCTTGTAACCTCAGCTCTCTGATAGGCTTTTTAAAAGTTAAGATTTTGTAGATGATTAAGCTTTTTCTCATTGTCGAGTCTGAGCAATGTTCTTTGGTGGCTTTCCACTTCCTAAACAGAAGCAGAACTCCCCATTTCGTTCTTTATAATAGCTTCCATTTCCTCCTCATTGTGTTCCTATTTTCATTTAAATACTTGGGAATAGTTATGATAGCAATTTTAACATCCTTATTTGTTATCCATCATCTCTGTTGTTTTATGCGATTTGTATGTGTGTGTGTGTGCACGCACGTGCCTGTGTGCATGTGTGAGGAAGATTGGCCCTGAGCCAACATCTGTGGCCAATCTTCCTCCTTTTGCTTGAGGGATATTGTTGCTGAGCTAACATCTGTGTTAGTCTTCCTCTATTTTATGTGGGGTGCCACCACAGCGTGGCTTGACTAGCAGTGCTAGGTCTGCACCTGGGATCCAAACCTGCGAACCCCAGGCTGCCGAAGTGGAGTTTGTGAACTTAACCTATACCCCCAAGCCGGCCCCTGTGATTTTTTTCTATTGACTAACTTTTCTGATGGTTATGGGTTATTGTATTAGGTTTCTTTTTTTTTTATTGTGATAACATTGGTTTATAACATTATATAAATTTTGGGTGTACATCATTATATTTCGATTCCTATTTAGATCACATCATGTTCACCACCCAAAGATAATTACAATCCATCACCTTACACATGTGCCTAATCACCTCTTTTGCCCTCCTCCCTTCCTGCTTTCCCTCTGGTAACCGCCAATCCAGTCTCTGTCTCTGTGTGTGTGTTTGTGGTTATTTTATCTTCTGTTTATGAGTGAGATCACATGGTATTTGACTTTCTCTCTCTGACTTACTTTACTTAGCATCATACCCTCAAGGTCCATCCATGTTGTCACGAGTGGCCACATTTCATCAGGTTTTTTGGCTGAGTAGTATTCCATTGTGTATATGTACCACATCTTCTTTATCCATTCGTCCTTTGATGGACACCTAGGTTGCTTCCAAGTCTCAGCTGTTAAGAATAATGCTACAGTGAACATAGGGGTGCATATATCTTTGTGCATTTGTGTTTTCATGTTCTTTGGATAAATACCCAGCAGTGGAATAGCTGGATGATATGGTAGTTCTAGTCTTAATTTTTTGAGGAATCTCCATACTGTTTTCCATAGTGGCTGTACCAGTTTGCACTCCCACCAGCAGTGTATGAGAGTTCTCTTTACTCCATCCTCTCCAACACTTGTTTCCTGTCTTGTTAATTATAGCCATTCTGACGAGAGTGAATTGATATCTCATTGTAGTTTTGATTTGCATTTTCCTGATAATTAGTGATGTTGAAAATCTTTTCATGTGCCTGTTGGCCGTCTGTATATCTTCTTTGGAGAAACCTCTGTTCATATCTTTTGCCCATTTTTTAATTGGGTTGGAAATTGTTTTGTTGAGATGTATTTTGTTTCCAAATACCTTCTCCCAATTGTTATGTTGTCTTTTCATTTTGTTGATTGTTTCCTTTGCTATGCAGAAGCCTTTTAGTTTGATGTAGTTAAACTACATTTGTTTAGTTTTTCTATTGTTTCCCTTGCCTAGTCAGACATGGTACTTGAAAATATGCTGCTAAGATTTATGTCTAAGAGTGTACTGCCTATGTTTTCTTCTAGAAGTTTCATGGTTTCCGGTCTTATATTCAAATCTTTAATCCATTTTGTGTTGGTTTTTGTGTACAGTGTAAGATAATGGTCTACTTTCATTCTATTGCATGTGGCTGTTCAGTTTTCCCAACACCATTTATTGAAGAGACTTTCCTTTCTCTGTTGTATGTTCTTGGCTCCCTTGTTGAAAATTAGCTGTCCATGGATTATTTCTGGGCTCCTGGTTCCATTCCATTGATCTGTGTGAGTATTAGTTTTCTATTGCTGCATCACAGATTACCACAAACTTAGTGGCTCAAAACATCCCACATCATCTCACAGTTTCTGTGGGTCAGGAGTCTGGGCATGACTTAGCTGGGTCCTGTGTTCCTGGTCTCACAAGGCTATAATCAAGGCATCAGCCAGGCCGTTTTTCATCTGGAGGCTTGAGTGGGGAAGGATTTGCCTCCAAGCCCATTCAGATTGTTGGCAGAATTCATTTCCGTGTGGTTATGTTACTAGAGCCCTCACTTCTTACTGAATGTCAGGTGGAGACAGCTCGCGATCCCTAGAGGCCTTCTACGGTTTCTTGCCACATGAACTCCCTCACCATGGCTGCTCACTTTATCATGCGAGCAAGGAGAATCTCTAAATTTAGGGAGGGCTTTTACCTGACTATATCAGGCCCACCCAAGACAATCTCCCTTTAATTAATTCAAAATTGACTTGCTACCTTGATTATATCTGCAAATTCCTTTCACCTTTGCCATATTTTATTAGCTAGAAGCAAATCAGGTGCTGCCCACATTCAAGGAGAGAGGTTTATACAGGGAGTCAGCACCAGAAGCCAGAGAACATAGGATCTGTCTTAGAATTTTGCCTGCCACAGTCACATTTTTCTGTTTCTTAGGGACCACTGTTTTTGAGGTCTGACTTTAAGCTTAGCTAGGGACCTGTAGAGTAGCCTCTTTTCACAGAGATAGTTTAGCCCCACTATTATAGAGTGACCTTTCTGGGGTCTTTTCTGAATACCCTAGGGGATCACTAGCTGGCTGGAGCTTGAATTTCTCTCCACTTTACTTGAGAAGGTCTGAGAATTACTCAGTTTACATGTCCTCCATAGTTTTTTGCCCAGGCTGATGGAATTTTGCTCTGTGCGTGCACAGACTAGCGGACAGTAAAGTCTGAAGAGACCCCTCTACGGATTTCTAAAGCTCTTTTTGGATCTTTGCCCTAAACTTCCAGCCATTTTAGCCTTCCTGAATTTTGATCTTTGCTCAGTTTAGCTTAGTTTCTTCGGTCTGTTTGGGTTCTCCATCTCTTTACCTGTGGTCTGGAAAATTGCATTCAGGCAGAAAACCAGGTGATTTTCCTTCTCTCAAGTATTACAGTCCTGCACTGCCTGTTGTCCAGTGTCTAGTGTCTGAAAGACAGTTATTTCATGTATTTTGCCTAATTTATTATTTTTTTGTGGTGGGAGGTTAAGTTCAGTGCTTGTTACTCCATCATGACCGGAAGCAGAATGGATATATATACTTTGATTATAAAACATTATTATTAACCTTAACATAATTCATGTTATCCCTGTGGGAGCTTCACTACTGCGGACGTCTGTGCTTAATAGACAAACTCAGATGCTGTATGTCCACTAATGGTTGGGAGACTAATAATTAAGTTACTAGAAAAACTGCTGGTTCAGTTGCATTTTTGATATCCTGTGATTTGTGTGGTGTTCCAGATCATGCATTTCTAGAGTGAGTTTATTTTGTGTCATTAACTTAGGCAGTAATAATTTTCTGTGGATCGGAAATGTTTGCACAATTGGATTTTCACATAATGATACCAGAGTGAGAGGTTTTTATTTTTTTCTGTAGAATTGAGGTTTTTTTGAGCAGGGCACCAGTTGATTAGTGTTGTATTTTAAGATACTTAATTTTTCATAAGTGTGCTGGATATAGATAGGATTGGAGCAGGGAGAGGGGGAGTTTGGGAGACTAGTTAGCTTATTGCTGCAGTCCAGGTGAAATGTAGAAAGGTCTTATCCAAGGTTAATGGCCATGAGAATAGAAGAGAGGGTCCTCCTGTGAAGTGAACAAGAGATGATGAGCAATCAAGTTATAGTAAGGTTTTGAAGTTTGAAAACAGAGGGGCAGTTGCTTTTGAGATGTTCCTTTTGGACACATTTGTTAAATTTAGGAGCTTGTGGTAAGTGTTAGTGGAGATATTTTCCTGATTATTGGAAAAATGGCGATGGGGATTAAAGTATTCTCTTATTTAAATAAGAATATTTTGGACTAAATTTAGAGGTTTTGGAAGGATTAATGTATCTTATATTTGACACATAGTAGATATAAATTATAAAATTAATTGAAGAGGTAATGATACATATAATTTTACTTTCTGTATATTCTACATATACAGTAATTATTCTTTGATATAATTAAAAATGGAGGTTTTAAAAAGGAGGTTGAGTACATTGTTCAAGAGTTGACTACTTTTTTTTTTTCACCACTTTCTAGGAGGCGAAGATCGAGAACTTATTCAGAGAAAGAAAGAGAAATATAGACTAGAATTACTAGAACAAATGGCTGAACAACAGAAGAACAAGAGACGGTAATGAAAGGTTTGCATTTAAAAGAGGTGTTTTGAATTTAAAGTGCATTTGTGTAAAGTGACATGATGGTAACTATAACGTAGTAAAATAAAGAGATACTTTTCCTATTGTGATTTTGTATTTGTAAGTCATTTCTGTTTCAATCTCCACATTGTATCAACCAGGGCAATAAAAGAAATACTATGAGAGTGTTCATTTTCTTTGTCACAGGTAACAAATGAGACTATGGATATATTCTATAACAGGCCTTTTACATACCTTGATTAATTTCTTCAATTTTTAATTTAGGATAGTATTTATTGTTATCTACATGCTCAGTATATTATCCCATATATAGTAAGAAATATAAAAGTATTTTATCTTCTAACAATGTGAAATGGTAAGTACACACATATAGGCAATATAAAAATAATCATCGTAAATCCACAGGTATTTATATTGTATACATGTCTCAGTGTTTGTAATCTTTCTTATAGAAATACCTGTGACATATTAATTATGGTTTAGAATTAGGAATAGATACCTTGGTTCTAGAGAATTTGAGATCTAGCATCTTTTAGTTTTGCCTTTTTTTCTCTATCTTAGAGAAAGCCAATATCTACTGTCTGATATTAGCCATCTTTAACATCATTTTCTTACAAACTCTTATTTGAAAGTGTGGTATTGGGGCTGGCCCCATGGCCTGGAGGTTAAGTTCAGCATGTTCTGCTTTGGCGGGCTGGGATCACTTCCCAGGTGCAGACCCACACCACTCATTGGCAGCCATGCTGTGGTGGTGACCCACATATAAGATAGAGGAAGATTGGCACAGATGTTCGCTCAGGGTGAATCTTCCTCATAAAAATAAAATTAAATTAAAAGGATTAAAAAACAAGTATGGTATTAATTTTTATTTTTTACCCTTTTTGTGAACTGAAAATGTACATGTACTCTGAAAAAAGGTTTTTGTTTGTTTCACAAAGTGAAGATTTTGTTCTACATCTGTACTTTATTCTGTGTGAATTGCTTAGACTTTGAAGTACCCCAGCCACTGGTTTAGAGATACTTATTACAAGTCAGTTTTCGTGTGAACTCTAATTTACTTTGTATCAGATCAGAAAATTTAGTTTTCAGAATTATTTTAGGCTTTTATTGTCAGTTACAGGAATTATTTATATTTGGAGATGTTTTTGCATAGACTTGGTGTGTAAATTTGTTTCAGTAATGATTATGATTTTGATAGTGTTTACTGTAACTTTTTTATATATAAAACTTTAATTTGTTTAGAGAAAAAGATTTGGAACTCAGAGTTGCAGCTTCTGGAGCTCAAGACCCTGAGAAATCGGTAAGAGCTCCCTAACATCTTTTGATGTTTAATCTTTGGTTCAAAGAAGTCTCAAATGTGGTAGCAGGTGGAGATAGAAAACATTGGGGGAAATTTAAGAGTAGACCAATTTGAACAGTCATAAACTAAACTGAGTTGTCATAAAACGTAAGTCCTAACTCTTATTTATTTCCCTGATAATTTTTACTTTTTCATGTGTACATCATTTTTTTAGTTTATTTTGAATTAATCCTTTCTACTTTGTTCACGTGCACTATTCCCTGGGAAAGTTATCTCAGGTTAAGTTACAATAGAGGTTAATATTTTTCTTGACCACTTTTTTGATATTAGAGTGATTTGCGAAGAAACTGAAGTTTGTAAGCATTTTAGTAATTTTTATTTAATGCAAAACTAGAGAGAGAACCTTATTTTTGCTTTAATTTTGCAATTCTCATCAAGTGGAATGAATTACATCACCGCAGTTAAGTAAAGAGGAGGTAATAATTTACTGTTCTTCTCAAAATGTGCTTTTTCTGTAGTTGGATATGGAGAATTTATTTGCTAAGGCAAGTTTTTGTTTCATCTTTGAATCATAATTAATAAACTAATTAATTTCATTAAAAATTCATTCTTAAAAAGAATATGACAACTTAAAATTATTCAACTGTAGGCAGCTTTTGATTTACTTTTACTTATGCTAATTATAGGCCCTATAGATTATCTGTTTTAAAAAGTTTAATACAGCACCAGCATCACTCTCAGTGTGCTTCTTGACTGCTCATAGAATAAAACTTTTAGATTAATCTTAGAAATTCCTGGGGAAGGTAGACATCATGGACAAAAGAGGATAAATTCCAAAGCTAAATCTCTTTTCTTCTGTCGATTGATACCTTTGAAATAGTTTTCACAATCAAAAACTTAAACTTTAAAAATTTTGAACTCTTTAATGCAATATGGTAGCACGTTAAACTTTGGATTTATAGTTACATTAGTGTTTGACAGATCTTCTTATTTATATTTGAATGAAACAAGCTTTACAGTGTCCAGTTGCTTTATGAGAATAAATAAAAATATTAGAGACAATAGACCATTACTTTTGGTTGGGTTTACTTTTGTTGTGCAAATCTTAGAAAAGGACACATAAATGATGTTCTTGAGTGGGGGTTAGCAAACTGTAGCCTATCATCAAATCCATATTTTTGTAAATACAGTTTTATTGCAGCACACTCTCTCTAATTTATTTACATATGGATTTGGGCTACTTTAGCACTATGGCTGAGTCAAGTAGTTGTGAAGAGACCATATGGCCTGCAAAGCCTGATACATTTACTGTCTGGCTCTTTACAGAAGATGTTTGTTGACTCTATAGAGAATACTTTGATGTCAGAAATGGCAATTGGATAGAGAAGCAGCATAGTGTTCTAGTGTAATAGAGAGTTTTATATTTAAGATTAATATCTGGCTCTAGCCTTTGCTTGATTATTTATTAATGGTGAGACTTGAGGTGATTTATGTGCTGTCAGAGAGCCTTGATTACTCCATTTATAAAATAAGAATTAGATCTTCAAAGTCTTTTGTAGAACTGTAAAATTCTTTTATTCTGTGACCAACTTAGGTGCCTGCTGGCAGTCTGGGATAGAGGGTCTTTTGAGGTCCTTTCCACCTTTAAATTTATGATTGTATATAACAAACAGATTTTTTTTTCTTTATTTTAGCCTGATAGACTAAAGCAGTTTGGTGTGGCGCCAAGACACTTTGAAGAAACGCTGCCCCCTGAAAGACCCAGAGTAGCTTTCCAGACGCCTCTGCCTCCGTTATCTGCCCCATCTGTCCCACCCATCCCATCAGTTCAGGCCATCCCATCACAAAGGGAAGATCTGCACAACGGGCTCAGCAGCACCCTTGGTGAAATGGTGCCTCCCAGGTGCTTGTTTAAAATGTTTTGTGTTTGGGAACTAGGTAAGGTATCATTATATTTTATGTTTAGAAGGATTTGCTAAAGCAAATAACGTTATCCTTCAGAGATTTTTATACAATTAATGGCTTTTGTTAAATACTTTGTCTTGAAATTTGTTTTCATCGTTGATCTTTTCTCTCATTGTAAAAACAAGGGAAATGTTTATAACATTCTTTTATTGTTTGAAGATGCTTTAGTATTTTTAGAATGAATAAGTACATTTAGAATTTAGTTTTAGGTCATATTTTTTAATGTCTTTTTAAAAATATCTTTTAAAATATAAAAGGTATACTTTTTCTCAATTTGGTAATTTCCGCTTGGCAAACATTGAATGCTTCCTTCAGTTTGTGCAGAAAATGTTTCTAATGTGGCTCTTTTGTATATATTACTCTATTTTACTTTCTGTTTTGTTCAACTCGTTCTCTCTGATTACTCATGGGCTATGCAACTCTCATTCCTGAAATGAAAATTCATTGAGATTATAAAGCTTGTAACTTAGGTAAAATTTGATCACTATAGGTAAAAGGCATCGTGATATACTAGACTATACATAAAGAAAATCCTGTCGTTTACGTTGTTTTTTCCTGGGCTATGCTTTCTTCTCTCAGAGGACTTGAGCTGATTTTTTTGCTTACTGTTAATGTACTAATTATGGGAGTGTATTTAATCAGATATTTTTCTTTTTTAACATTGATATTTTCTGGGCTATACTTTCTTCTTTCAGTAGAACTTAGTCTTACCTTTTTATTACTACTAACAAATTATAGAATTGTTTACTATATTTATCAGATGTTTTGTTTGTTTGATCCTCATGACTCAAAAGACGAGGTGGGATTAGAATTACAGATATGGCATGATGGTCACAGCATTGGTTTAGGGATTAAAACAGTTGGCTTCACTGTCTGGATTTTGGGTAAACCACACTGTTATTGAACTTAAATTTTCTCATTTGTAAAAGTGGAATAGTGATACTTTTTTCTTATCTACAATTATAGGGTTGTCATGAGGATTGAATCTTACGCAAATTTCCATAAAAATTTAAGATTTAATGATTTGACAGTTCTCTTTCATAGCAGTTTTTCACTACTTTGTTGATGTCTATGGAGTGAAAATAGCAAGGTTAGACACACTGAGTGACTAGTAAATGTGGAAAATGTTCACAACTGAAGAAAACTTTAATGCCTTCTTAGCTCTTCAGAATTATTTTGAATTATACAAAGGGAGAACCTGTTAAGATACACAGAAGTGAAAATATTCTAAGATGCTCCCTTTCTCTTTCTGTTCACCTAAAGGAATTTGCCTTTTCTATTTTTGCTATTGGAAAATAGTGCCTTGGTGAAAATACAGAGATATTTCCTAATCAGTAATGAAGTGCTAAAACAGAGGTTTTCAGAAGTTTTAACTTTATGAAATGCTAAAAATATGTCAAGACTTTACTGTTGATATTTAAGTGGTTTCTGTTTCATATTATGGTTTCTGTTTCACATTGGTTGACTTCCTTTGAAAGAACAATACATTTTTAAAGTTAAAAAATGCACCCTTTCCCCCCGTCAAATGGAACTATTAGTAATTCCATTTTGCGTCTCTTTGCTCTTTCTTCCTGTACAATCCTTCATCTCTGTGAGTAACTCACTTTATCAACATGGCTGAAGCATTGCCTTTTCTGGAAAGCCTTCCTCACGCTTTCGTCTTCTTCCCTATGTGACTTAAATGTCCATGCTCCATGTTCCTACAGCACCCTGCATCTACTTGTATTGTTTCATTTAGTATACTTTGCTATAATTATCTGTTTGTTTCTGTATTATTCCTGAGGCACAGGGACCATGTTTGTTCAATACTGGCACAGGGTAACTACTTAGATATTAATTGATTGAATATTATCTGAAGTTTTTGTCTTACGTAAGTGTTATACCTTAAATTCTGAAATTTTATACTGGTTTTTGCTTTTAGTCATAATTATTGATAAAAGGTTGAAGCAAGATGGTGGCTTTTTCTAAAGCAGCAATTAGATTTTTGGTAACATTTTTGCAAAAGGATAATATCTTGATTTAAAAAAGTTTGCAATGAAAGATGAGAAGAATTTTCCAATTTTCTTTTGATGCAGGATTGCGCCTTTGCCTCCACCTCCCCTTCTACCACCTTTGGCTACTAACTATAGAACTCCTTATGATGATGCATACTACTTTTATGGGGCCAGGAATACTTTGGATCCCAGTCTTGCTTACTGTAAGTTATCTACAGGGTAAACATTTTTTTCCAGTGCTTAGTCAGGAAAATTGGTCTTTGTACAAGTAAAAATGTATAATGAGAAAAGCACAGCTTTATTTAATTCAAATACTATATATTTATTGATTTAATAGGTGGCCTTTTAAAAACTCAATTATATTTTATAGTTATTTCCTTTTTATCTAGATTTAAGACATAACTATTTTGTGTTTTCTTGCATTGTTATTTGCTCACTCCTAGCCCAGAAGGAAATATGGATTTGTTTCCTTAGGTGACATTTTTAGTATGTGACATTTCCTTTAGGGATTAAAATGTTCTTAAATGGATACTCTGAAATAAATGCGTTTATTTTCTTTTAAGATGGTTCAGGAATGATGGGAGTACAGCCTACATCTTATGTTAGCGCTCCTGTCACCCACCAGCCAGCACAACCTATTATGTAAGTCGTTAGTTAAAATAATAATTTCTTTCAAAATTTATTTGTCTTCCATAGAACCTGGATTATTCAACTCATTCTTCTTTTCTTCAGAAGAGATGTAACTTGTTTTAATTTCTAATTGTTGCATAACCAATGTGTTCAAAGTATTGCTTTTGAGTCAATGTTTCATAGAAAGCACATTTTAAAAATTAAGAATAATCTCACTTCCTCTCATTAGAAGAGTCACGCATGCATAATATTGATAAATAAGAATACAGCAAATATAGGCAAAAATTGAAATCACCTAAAATCTTATTCATCCAGAGATAGAAAGACTTCCTGAATGCATATTTAGATCTGTCTATGTATAGACACACACTCAGAAAAAATATACACACAACACACACCAAAATGGTACTATACAGGCATACCTTGTTTTATTGCACTCGCAGATATTGCATTTTTTACAAGAGCCTCCAGCAGCAAAAAGATTATGACTCCCTGAAGGCTCAGATGATGGTTAGAGTTTTTTAGAATTAAAGTATTTTTTAATTAAGGTATGTACATTGTTTTAGACATAATGCTATTGCATGCGTGATAGACCATAGTGTAGTGTAAACATAACTTTCATATGCACTAGGAAATCAAAAAATTCTTGTGACTTGCTTTATTGTCATATTTGCTTTATTGTAGTGGTCTGGAATTGAGCCTGAAATATCTTTGAGGTATGCCTGTATTGTACATATTGTTCTATAACCTGTTTTTAAAATTAACAATATATCATAAATATTTTTTCCATGTCAATAAATATACTTTTATAGTATCATTTTTAAAAATTAAACTTTTTGTTTAGAGATAATTGTTGGTTCCCATGGTAGAATTGTAAAAAATGATATAGAGACGTCTTGTGTACCCTCTACCCAGTTTCTCACAATGCTAACATCTTGCAAAACTATGGTACAATAGCACAACCCAGATAGAGGACATTGGATACAGTCATTTACAGAACACTTCCATCATCACAAGGAACTCTTATGGTGCCCTTTTATAGCCAGACCTGGTTCCCTCCTGCCTGTACTCCTGGTTCCCTCCTGCCTGTACTCCCTCCTTAGCTACTGGCAGCACTTTATCTGTTCTTCATTTATATATCATTTTAAGAATGTTGTATAAATGGAATCATATAATACGTAAACTTTTGAGGTTGACTTTTAAAAATCAGCATAATTCTTGGGAGATTATCCAGGTTGTTGCATGTATAAATAGTACATTTGTTTTTATTGCTGGGTAGTGTTCCATGGTATGAGTGTAGCACAGTTTATTCACTCATTGGAGGACATCTAAGTTATTATAAATAGAGCTGCTATAAACATTAGCGTGCAGGTTTTTGGGTGAACAGTCTTTTTTCTTTGTGATAATTGTCCAGGAATGTTATTGTTGGGTTGTATGGTAGTTATAAGTTTAGTTTTGTAAGAAACTGCCCATCTGGTTTCAGAGAGACTGTATCATTTTACATTCATATCAGTAATGTATTAAGAAGCTGGTTTCTGGGGCCAGCCCTGGGCTGAGTGGTTAAGTTCACGTGCTCTGCTTCGAATGCCCAGGGTTTCTGCCAGTTTGGATCCTGAGTGTGGACATGGCAACGCTCATCAGGTCACGCTGAGGCAGTGTTGCACATAGCACAGCCAGAGGGACCTACGTCTAGAATATACAACTATGTACTGGGGGGCTTTGGGGAGAAGAAGAAGAAGAAAAAAAAAAAAAAGAATCTGGTTTCTTCACATCTTCACCAGCATTTGATCTTGTGACTTGTTTATGCCATTCTGATAGGTGTGTTAATGATGCATCATTAGGGTTTTAATTTACATTTCTCTAACAATAATGATGTTTAACATCTTTTCATGTGTTTATTTACCATCTGTAAATCTTCTTTGGTGAAACATCTATTGATGTCTTTTGCACATTTTCTAATTGGAGGTTTTATTACTACTGAGTTTTGACAATTCTTTATGTATCCTAAACACTAATTCTTTGTCAGATGTGTGGTTTGCAAATATTTTCTGTCAGTTTAAAGCTTGTCTTTTCAGTCTTTTAGTAGGGCCTTTCACAGAGCAAAAGTTTAAATTTTGATCAAGTCCAATTTATCAGTTTTTCTTTATGGATCATGCTTTCAGTGTCAAATCTGGGGTCTCTTTTCCTAGACTTAGATGGTAAAGATTTCTTTCTGTTTGCGTTTTTTTTTTTTTTTTTGTAAAAGTTTTATAATTTTACATTTAAGTTTCATGATCCATTTTGAGTTAATTTTTGGGTAAGATGTGAGACTTAGATTAAAGGTCTTTATTTTTTTTTTTTTTTTTGCCTTTGGGTGTCTTGTTGGCAAGATTATTTTTCCTCTATTGAATTGCTTTTACACCTTTGTGAAAATTATTTGGGTGTGTTTGTGTGGTTCTGTTTCTGGGATTCTCTGTTCTGCTCCAAGTGCTGGTGGCACTTGATTGTTGTAGTGCTGTAGTAAGTTTTGAAATTGGAAAGTATGAGTTCTTCAAATTTTCTTTTCCAGGGTCGTTTTGGCTATTCTAGGTCCTTTGCACTTTCATGTGAATTTTAGGATCAGCTTGTCAATGTCTACAAAATTGCAGTTGAGATTTTCTTTTTTTTAAATTTTTTATTGAGTTAATGGTAGGTTACAATCTTGTGAAATTTCAGTTGTACATTATTGTCTGTCAGTCGTGTTGTAGGTGCAACCCTTCACCCTTTGTGCCCACCCCCACCCCACCTTTGCCCTGGTAGCCACTAATCTGTTCTCTTTGTCCACATGTTTAAATTCCTCATATGAGCGGAGTCATACAGAGATTGTCCTTCTCTATCTGGCTTATTTCACTTAATGTAATTCCCTCAAGGTCCATCCACGTTGTTGCAAATGGGATAATTTTGTTCTTTTTTACGGCTGAGTAGTATTCCATTGTATGTATATACCACATCTTCTTTATCCATTCATCTGTTGATGGGCACTTAGGTTGCTTCCACGTCTTGGCTATTGTAAATAATGCTGCAGTGAACATTGGGGTGCATGGGACTTTTGGAATTGCTGACTTCAAGCTCTTTGGATAAATACCCAGTAGTGGGATAGCTGCATCGTATGGTAGTTCTATTTTTAATTTTTTGAGGAATCTCCGTACTGTTTTCCATAGTGGCTGCACCAGTTTGCATTCCCAGCAGCAGTGTATGAGGGTTCCTTTTTCTCCACAACCTGTCCAACATTTGTTACTATTTGTTTTAGTTATTTTTGTCATTCTAATGGGTGTAAGGTGATATCTTAGTGTAGTTTTGATTTGCATTTCCCTGATGTACAGCATTGATGAACATCTTTTCATGTGCCTATTGGCCATCTGTCTATCTTCTTTGGAGAAATGTCTTTTCATGTCTCCTGCCCATTTTTTGATCGGGTGGTTTAATTTTTTGTTGTTAAGTTGTGTGAGTTCTTTATATATTATGGATATGAAGCCTTTGTCGGATGTATTATTTGCAAATATTTTTTCCCAGTTAGTGGGTTGTTTTTTTGTTTCAATCCTGTTTTCCCTTGCCTTAAAGAGGCTCTTTAGTCTGATGAAGTCCCATTTGTTTATTCTTTCTATTGTTTCCCTTCTTGAGAAGGCATGGTGTCCAAAAAGATCCTTTTAATACTGATGTCAAAGAGTGTACTGCCTACGTTTTCTTCCTGAAGCCTTATGGTTTCAGGTCTCAGCTTTAGGTCTTTGATCCATTTTGAGTTTATTTTGGTGAATGGTGAAAAAGAATGGTCAATTTTCATTCTTTTACATGTGGCTTTCCAGTTTTCCCAGCACCATTTGTTGAAAAGACTTTCTTTTCTCCATTGTATGCCCTCAGCTCCTTTTTCAAAGATAAGCTGTCCATAGATGTGTGGTTTTATTTCTGGGCTTTCAATTCTGTTCCATTGATCTGTGCACCTGTTTTTGTACCAGTACCATGCTGTTTTGATTACTGTAGCTTTGTAGTATGTTTTGAAGTCAGGGATTGTGATTCCGCCGGCTTTGTTTTTCTTGCTCAGGATTGCTTTAGCAATTCGCGGTCTTTTGTTCCCCCATATGAATTTTAGGATTGTTTGTTCAATTTCTGTGAAGAATGTTCTTGGGATTCTGATTGGGATAGCATTGAATCTGTATATTGCTTTAGGTAGTATGGACATTTTAACTATGTTTATTCTTCCAATCCATGTACAAGGAATGTTTTTCCATCTCTTTATGTCATCGCCTATTTCTTTCAAGAAAGTCTTGTAGTTTTCATTGTATAGATCCTTCACTTCCTTGGTTAAGTTTATCCCCAGGTATTTTATTCTTTTCGTTGCGATTGTGAATGGGATAGAGTTCTTGAGTTCTTTTTCTGTTAGTTTATTGTTAGTGTATAGAAATGCTACTGAGTTTATGCACGTTAATTTTATACCCCTGCTACTTTGCTGTAGTTGTTGATTATTTCTAATAGTTTTTCTGTGGATTCTTTGGGGTTTTCTATGTATAAGATCATGTCGTCTGCAAACAACGAGAGTTTTACTTCTTCGTTACCTATTTGGATTCCTTTTATTTCTTTTTCCTGCCGAATTGCTCTGGCCAGCACCTCCAGTACTATGTTGAATAGGAGTGGTGAAAGTGGGCACCCTTGTCTTGTTCCTGTCCTCAGAGGGATGGCTTTCAGCTTTTGTCCATTGAGTATGATGTTGGCTGTGGGTCTATCATATATGGCCTTTATTATGTTGAGGTACTTTCCTTCTATACCCATTTTACTGAGGGTTTTTATCATAAATGGGTGTTGGATCTTGTCGAATGCTTTTTCTGCATCTATTGAGATGATCATGTGGTTTTTGTTTTTCATTTTGTTGATGTAGTGTATCACGTTGATTGACTTGCGGATGTTGAACCATCCCTGTGTCCCTGGTATAAATCCCACTTGATCATGGTGTATAATCTTTTTGATGTATTGCTGTAATCGGTTTGCCAAAATTTTGTTGA